CCCAAACCTATGTAAAAAATTTGAATAAAACATACTTAAAAACTGAAAAATGTTTCTCTATATATAAAAATAACCAAAATATCATAACTTGGGTCTTATTTTAAGCGTTAGATCGCTATCAGTATTAGCCTTAATGCAAGTTACAATAGTCATTAATGCGACGAATCTAGGACATCCTAAATGAAAGCGAGATGGACTTGAGATTATGAAAATTTATGTTTTAATTGTTCGACTTACATTTTATAAGTGAATTAGATAAGCAAAGCAGAAGTTAGGAGAGGAATATCGTAGTATAAGACTAGAAACTAATTTTACTTGGAAATGAAAAGCATTTTTTATTCTATAGTAAATGTCTTATTTAGGAAATTATTCTTCTGTGATTAATATACTAAGCATATAATACCTCTGATTACTACTTATAAATTATACAGTTGTAGTAATGATTTCTCTAAATTAAGCAAAGATTTTTGCATAGTTTCATGAGTGCGATCTTGAACATATATTTCATCATTGATAATTTCATATGCATGACACTATATGCAGAAATTACAATGTTTTTCCAAGAAGGCTCCTCATTGATTCTAGAATCAAGATGTATTTATTAATCCGTTATGTACCTACACGCTAAGCAAACTTAAACTATGAAATTGCTAATCCAATACAAATTTAGTTTTTTATTTAAGCCATTTAGATTTTTTTGTCACCATGAGTAAGCAATCGATATTTGTCAAGCAATCTTTATGTATAAAAGAAAGTCGTGTTTATAAATTTATAAATCAGGAACGGTTTTACGGGTTTGGCTGAAAATTCGTGGACACAGCTTAGAACCCAGAAAAGGACATACGATACTATTTACTATATCAAAAAAAAAAATTGATAAAATCCCAAATCTTATTTACTGGCTTTACTGAGGAACAGAGCTCGTCCGGTCATTGAAACTAACGCAGACGAAGTTGCGTGCAAAAACTAGTATACATAGAAAGGATTAATATAAATATTTTGAATGCATGTCTAACTAATAAGCTATTTAATAAGTACTTATCTTGTTAAAGAACCTGTTCAATGTCAATGTATCCATAAACATCAGTTATAAAAGAAACCACGTCTTTAGTTAACACATACTATTAACAACTTGGAAAACCGTTTAGTTTAGTTATTACGTTATTAGTAAAGAAAACTCACAATTAAACAAATGTTCGGTGAATGACACGTAATAACTGCAAGTGAACACGGTCGTCGAGACGCTTGTGTGAATCTGAGATGAAAATTAATATATAATATTATATAAAATTAACAGTTTTAAAACAACTAGTTAACCAAGTTAATATTTTTTTTTATAAAATGCAAATAATCTTTATCGAATTATTTCAACGATTATATTATATGAGATATTAAATAAATTAACATTCGCCTGACATACCTTTTGGAAAAGAGCTCGTAACCTTACATTGCTGGACTTATATTAACTGAACATAAGTATCACCTCAAAGAAAATATCTTTCATATGAAAATCGCATCATAATCATTAGATTCGTGTCAGAGCTACGATTCCAGAATAAAAACACAGAAATACACACAAAATCAAAACAAAATCATAACACCTCTTTTTGCGTTGGGAGTCAAAATCTTCTATATATATAAAAATAGATTGCTGTTCCTTAGTCTCGCTAAAACTCGAGAACAGCTGAACGGATTTATCTTATCTTAGTCTTGAAATGTTCGTGGAGGTTCAGGGAAGGTATAAAAGCTGAAAAAAATTGATTCATTACTGGGAAAACCATAAAAACAGCCTTTTTCTATTGCCCATACAAACGTTTTTTTTGACATTAGTTTTGACAACTTACTAATATGTCAATCATTCTGTCGCACTTCAAAACACGGAGATTTATGGCTTACAGGTAAACTCCAAAAATATAAATAAAAAAACGTAATAGATATTTCTTGATTATAGGGCGATACGAAGTTCGCCAGGTCTTCTAGTTACATATATAATCTGAAAGCATAAGATTAATTTGATATCCATATAAAAATCAAATACTTCATATAAATTAAAGTCAATCAATATTGTTAGTGAGTTCTAAATAATGTTACCTAAAAAGTAAGTGAAAGTTAGCCAATAGAATGATACGTCGTGGGAATTATTATGCGACACGTATAGATTGGGAGTTAGATTTCAAACTACATAACACTAGACATTCGACGCGGTTTTGTCTGTACGAACACATTCCATATATAAAGGCTTTTCGATTTAATAAAGGCTTTTCGATTGTATATCGCAAAATTCTTATTTGATATGTATATCTATATCTATATTAATATTTAATTTGAAATATTTAGTGATATTTTTGGATATTGTTCCAGCTTTACGAGTAACATTGACAGTAACGTCATATTTGATGACGTCTTAAAAAAATAATTACAATATTAAAATTTGAATCTTAGATTAATTTAAACCATATGTATTTTGTAAGCCACCTTTCATTTTCCACTATGCATTACGCATTCGTCCCTGTGGAACCATAAGAGATATTGTAACCGTGTTTCCAATAGTATGCGCATGCGCATCGTAATACCACTGATGCCATCAAGCAAATTTTTCGCCTTAAATACATATATAGAGTATATTCCATGTATTACCTTTCAAATATCTTCGTTTCCAGATGTGCAATTTGGAATTTTATGCAAATTTAGGAATTTTTGGTTTAGAATATATTAATGGAGCGAAATCCTAAAAAAATTAACTTGTAAAAAATGTACTTCCATGAATATTTCATCTATTAAATACCTAATAGATTGCGAAGTCTGGTTTTGTCGGATAATATGGTAATACTAGAGAATGGAAAAAGTAAACTTATGTTCTTATATTACATATATTTCCTTTTATTCCATTAAAAATATTTATTTATGCAATTATCCAATAGTTTCTTGGAAGTCTTTTTGACGATATAAGGGCGTATCTTTTGGTCTTAAATATATTTATTTTGATAACATCTGTCTGAGAAAATGATATTCTGAACTTCTTTCGTTCATTGTTTGAAAAACCAAATAGGTATGTTCACGGAGATAATAATTTTTAATTGACAGTGGTCTGTATCCGTGTGTAACTGTATTAAGACTCACAATAATAATAAACATTTGAAGCCAAAAACTTAGAACAGTTCGTCTAATATTTTTGTATTGTTTTGTAAATATATTTTCAAAGTGGGTCATATTTGAGTGGACATAATGACAAGAGAGCGGCAAATGTTTGAAGGACGTTCGATATCTTTATTATTGTACCCTTAATATCCTTTTATAGTTAGATGTTGCAAGCGGATGTTAGAACCTTCGAACCAATTAACTAACTTACTTACTTTAATAGCCAGCGACAAGTTTTATTACTTATAAAATAATATGTTATTTTTCAAGTTTTAAAATTGTTATTTTTGTTTTTCTGCACTGACATTACTATCTGGTATATTGAGCAAACAAGCTAATTAACAAAACTAGTTGATTGAAATATTGTTGGTGGCGCAAAATTGCTTACGAATATATTAAGTGCAATAACGACTTCATAACTACAAGAAGTTTACTTCTAGAAGTATAGATGAAATTAATGAATGAACTTAACAGATTAATTATTAGTTTATTTCTATAAAAACGATGTCGAACATGTACATTTTACTGTAAGGTTACTGGAAACGGAATGGGGTCGTTGTCATGAAAAAAGTAGAGTTCACACTGACTGATACAAAAGAATTGCGAGAAGATGTACGCTATTGTTTTGTTTACTAGAATCAAGAAAATAAGTCACTTTACATCAACTCATGGTTCACATATCCACGAGCATCCAGGTCACGTCGATGGTCCTTATCTCCTCGTGATAAAGATCACATCCGCCTGCACTCCAATTTGTTTTCTCGTGTCATGTCATAACTTTCATTTATCTTGTCGTATATCACGAACAATGGATCGGTAACGTGCGTTATTTGTACTTTTTGTTTCATATAATAAAACCGATTTCCTTATTACAGTCACATATTACGATGACTTACTAATTGTACTGAATACAATCTTTATTTTTAAAGTTTCTAACAACATTTTTGTATGTTATCTGATAGTACTTTATCTTATATAGTCAAAATTTAAAATTAATGTTTATTTATACAGCAAAAGTATTTTAGCATTTATTTTTCATCTTATAGACACTCAAATTATGTATGAAATAAATCTTAAATCTTGATGTACTTAAATTTAAGTCAAAATTCGTTTAAAATCTACGAATACAAAATATGGATAGAATTAAAGAAACACAAAGCGATGTAATTGATCAATAATTTTGTTTAAATATAAAAATATTCTCACAATATAACTTTTGCTTTTTTTAATGTGATTTAAATACATTTTCAAACCGGTACATAAGTTCTTATCGATAGATTGAAATAATTTACAGCGTAACAAGTGAATTATGCATACCTATTATTATATTAAATATATTTATATATAAGAAAGCGATAAGATAAACGCATTACATGAATAATGAGTAATAAAACAATATTTGTACTGTATATTTCATTTTAGTGAAACAATGCAGACCATATTCATATTCTAAGTTTACACAAATGTACTTCCAAATATTACTTTCAGCTTTAAAATAATGTTTTAACAGTGTTTCAAATTTTCTTTGTTTTTGAATTTCATATTTACACAGCTTGCATTAATTTAATTTATAGATATTGTTTGATATCAATTGTTCAGAAAAAAATAATTTATTTGACGATCGAATGACGCAAATTTATAACGCGCGTATTTCCAATTTACATTATAAAAAATATTGCTTTTTTTAGCTTAAGTTTAACCAAAGGTTGCTTAATTATTATGTTCGTGAAAATTTTATCATCAAATTTTACTCTTAAATGGTTTTTGAGAAGAATTTACGACTTAGGTTTTATATATTTTTGTTATTGTTACAATACAAGTGATATTTCTTTTAAATGTTTCAAATCTATACCTTTTATCAGGCCTTGGAACAAGAGAAGCATCTCCTGCGACGTCGTCTGGACACCGAGCAAGGGGAGTACGAAGCCAGACTTCTGGAACTTCAGAATGACATCAAAGAACTCACCGCCAAGATCGACTCCAAGGACAATTCAGTTAAACAGGTGACGTATATTATTATCCCTACTAATATTATAAATGCGAAAGTAACTCTGTCTATCTGTCTGTTTGCTACGCTTTCACGCCTAAACCACTGAACAGATTTTAATGAAATTTGGTACAGATACAGAGTTGACCTTGAAATAGAACATAGGATATTTTTTATCCCAGACTTTCGAAAAGTTCTCTTGGAAACGCGATCTAACCGAACACCACGCGTGCGAAGCTGCGGGCGGAAAGCTAGTTTTATAAAAGAATATATCTTACTATTAAGCAGTGTAGTACATAAGTACTTAAAGAGGTATATAATACGTTTTAAAAATGAAACCATGTTACATTTATACTAGCTTATTCTCGCGACTTTCCTTCCTGGTTCTTGATCAATGGTATTTTCTTTCATGCGAAGTTTCATAGAAATTGATCAGTTTAGAATTGATATAAAACCTTGTTTATTTCTCATTTGTAATAATAAATGAAATGTATTTTTATTGTGATCCTTGTAATATTGTAAATGTGGAAGTTTGTGAACAAATATGGATTTATGGATGTTTGTTTCTCTTCCAAGCAAAAACTACTTAACAGATTTCGACGAAACTTTGCAACAATTTTGATTAGACATCAGAATAATATAAATTTAATATAAATATGATATAAATTTCCGGAAATTCGATGTAGTACATGCCGAAATAAGACATAACATGATGTCACATCACACGAACGATAGGTACATAGTTGTCGCTGATTGTTGCTTACCATAAAAATGCATTATTTAAAAACAGTATACTTTTATATCTGTGTTTGATTCCGAAGTCCTAAGTAACGAAATCGCAGACATTTTTTTTAAAAAACGAAGTAAAACTTTATATGAAATATTTGATACATTTATTTAGTACTGCATATAATTTTTGAATAGGCTTTAGACTATTTCAAGTCCATTGTGGTCGATACGCCCCAGGGCAGTTGTATAGCACAATACAGTTATTTAATGTTTTTCACATGAGAATCTGACGGAATATACTAAAAAAACATTTAATTTATTGTATATTTTTTCATATAAAATTTGAAGTAGATCAATGCTTGGTCTAATTCTTACCTCAATCGATACTTGAAGTACTTTTGGTTTTAGCATGTCATACAATAATCGTTTCCAAACTAGATGGAGGTCAGTACAATGACCTCGAATGTCCAATAAAGCGTTTATAGGATACCATTGAATCATCACGAACCGATTTTGGTATATTGGAAAAGTTTTTGTTTGACATGACATAAAACGACAACAAAGGAGTCATTTACTGGTACTAAAATGATTATTACTAAATAATTTATATAGAATGATAGTCTAAATGATGTTAAGTAGATATCTAATAAGATTTTCCTATGTAATGCTCAGATTTCTTTGTTTCTATCCTACCTTCTATTAAACTATCCAGTTAGAGTAGCGGAATGTTCTCGAGACCAGTTCTTAAATAGTTTCCTGTCGAGTTTATTTATGATTGAAAACATGAAAACCTCTATATTTACTTCGAGGTGAAAACTTATTGTAGGGGTATTTTAGTGAAGATTAGAATTCTTGTCAAAATATTTTATTATAAAGGCGAATATTAATATGATTTTTACGAAACCGTAATTATAAATTTAATTAATTTTAATATTTTTTTATTTATATATGATAAAGTATATCCTTGTTCCAACGTGATAGTCGCTTACGAATTTCATCACATTCAACACCTGTGTCACGGTTCTTGGGTCACGTTTATGAAGCCACACAATCTAAGTACTATCCGTCTAAGCCTCGCAAATGTTAGTAAAAAAAATTGTTAAAGAACGTACCAAAACGTGTCGGATTAAGGAATCGTGATTTCCACTGTATGGTGTGAATAATAAAAAAATATTCTCCTTACCACACTTATTAATCCTATTTATTCATGTATATGAAGTTACAAACTCTTTAAGAAAAAATAAGCTGAATTTTGATTGTATTTTAAACATTTATCTCATTTTTGTCGTCAACTAGGTTTTATCACACATAATTCTAAATGTATTTTGAATTTGCTTATTTATTTCACAATTCCTATTTGAGACCTAGCCGTTGTAGTTACATTAACAATTTTTTATGATGGAATATTTATACTTACGTATGGAAATCTAGTCGTTAAATTAAATGAAGAATAAATTTCCCTTTAGTTTTCACAAAAAGCAGTTTTTATTTTCAAGGTTTTTGTATGTGTGTACATGAGTTGCGTGCCATTATATGTATTTATATTTTAGTATGGTTTGAAAAAAATTAAAAACTGCTTCGATCAGATTCACACAGCAAAATGTCAAAGAACTTTTTTTATTTCTTTTTGCTTTGTATTTCTCTCCGTATTTTTCCTAATGCTCCCAAAAGGAGAATTGTATACAAGAAGAAATCCCAAGTGGACCAATAGGTATTCTCCTATCACCTCAACAATTAGAACTTAGTAATAAAAAATGTCCAAATTTATTTTAGGAACAAAAGTATGGTTTCTTTATTAAGCTTAAGTGTCGATTTATATCAAGCCATATAAATACAACCTTCAAACTTCTTTTATTCGCCAAGGTGATTTACAAATAAAGGCGAGCTCACACTAAAGGGTCTTCATACTGAAATTTAGAGCTTAATAAATGAAGTAATTAGAGTCCATTCAATTAACAAATGTTATACAGGTCTTAACTATGATAAACTAATAATAAAGAAAAACAACTTCAGTAAAGATAAGATTACAATGTCTGTTTGTGCATGAGCTCTATGATGTGACTAGTATAAACAAAATCACACATTTGTATCTAGATTTCAAACAACTATCATCAATTCTTAAGGATGATAGGGGTCATGTATAAATGGCTTTCATTTACCTACAATTTTGCGTACAAAACGTACATTTGGTTTATTGAAATGTTTGCGATCCAATATATATATGTTTCAAGACGTGACCGACATCGATTTTTATTTATCATTAATAAACCAACCAAATATGAAAGAGTCATATAAAAAATTAATTTTATCGTTCGTTTCAAAAAGTCAAAGGTGGGTCAGAGTGGGCGTCCATAATATATTACTGGTCGCCTTGACGTCAGAATAAACAAACAGTTCCATGAAATGTATCGATGTGAAAATATCCCTGAAAATATTATCAAGGCCGCCCCCGCAATTAATTACTTTACAACTATAGAAGTATAGCTATAGAAGTATACAAACCCCGCTACAGCTATGACGCAATACTTAACGAAATGACGAAATTAAAATTTTTACATTAATCATATATTAGTCCCGGATAGAATAATGGAATAATATATTATTTGGTAGTAACTAAATATAAGTTATCAGTATAAGAGACGGTACTTCCGACGCTTGGCCAACATCCACAACATCGTATTGTCAACATTCGCTAATCGGACATAATCATTATGTTTTTATGGTAATCAGTGAGGTTTCGGGAAATGACCACGGTCACTATGAAGACTCGTTTTTTTGTGGAAAATGTCAAGGACCTCCCGTCACTGCTATGTAATAAAGTAAAGTGTTAAATTATATGACTTTCCCGTCCAATTCAATCTTACAACTGTGAGTAGATCAAATATGAGTGACACTGTACCTAATTAAAATGCGTTTTAAGTAACATTTACATCCTTTAATCCTGTCAATTGATAATAAGTTTTTTGGAAAATAAACTTGGACGTTTTTGTAAATATACGTAGGTGCAATGTATGTCAATTTTGAAAACGAATTTACTTTCAAATAACATAACCAAACTATCTATATTTATGTTTCAAAAACGATTCTTTAACATTTTTATAATCCCGTCATCTTATCGTCGAAGAAACATCGATAATAAATCTTTTATTCAATATTTAATTGTAAAGGAATGGATAATGTTGTATTGCAACACTTGGCATTGTCACTCAACGACCTTCTGCATCTAGAAAAACAGTTTCGCAAATATTTCCGATGCTATTTCGAACCTTAATTCGCTACACTACGAACTGTTTTTGCAAGATATTAAAATACACTTAAATCGATTAACCACGGTCGGTCTTGCGGACAGAGTACGGGTCGGAACTTAGTTAATATTTTTAATTATCTCTCTTACTAAATATCTTTAGTTTTATTGAGGATTCTTCATAAATATTATCGATATTCAATACATGCCTCCGTGGTATGTCATTGCGGTTAAAATAGCATTCCCTGTGTGTCGTTTATAGACCCCGCTAGATAAAATCAAGTATCGACTTAAAATTGAAAAAATATCCTAAAAAATATGCAAGAAATTCGTAAAACTGTAACCAGTAATATTAGCAAATAAAAGTCAATAAAAGCTTTAAAAAACATATAAATATTAGTTAATTAGAAGAATTAAAATATCGAATGGTATGTTCGTAATAAATTTTATATAATTTATTCACTGGCATTTTATTGTGCATTCCGTTTTAATGGTAAACGAAAATGTATTAATTAAAGTGAAAGTGATTCTCATACAAAAGATAATATTATACATTAGTAATGTAAAAGTCATTAATATGCAATTTATTCTTGAAGACCAATAATCTTATCTGAATCAATGCTTTGATTTAATTTATTAGAATAGGTATGAAATTTTGGAAAGTATTTAATATGTTTTAAGTCCGAGAAATCTGATGATTAGGTAATAATTGTAAGTTATGTCCTGAATGAAGAAAGCCTAAACTGTAGGCTTTTTTATCACGTCTCTGTTTAAACTATGAGTAGTTTTATACTAAAAGTTTTATCCTGTTACAGAGAGAAGAAGAAAAAACCGGTCTTATAGCAGAATTAACAGCACAGAATTCTCGTCTAACAAATCAACTGAAGGAATCATCTGCTGTCGAAGCACAGCTTCTAGCGCAACTAGAGTTGCTCAAAGATCAATGCTCCGTAAGAAAAACAAGCCTGCAAGTAAGACGAACATTAAGTGTATTATAATTGCTGTTAATAATAATATTACATAATGTTCAAACTGTTTCGTAAATGTGAAATTTGTCAAAAAGAATTCGTGTTTTATAATGGCTACATATAAGTAAAGTCATTGAGCATTTTCTCGTATCATGTTTGATCCAAAAACTGCACCTAGTAGTAGTATGTATAGAACCAACTTTATTTTTGTTTTTACATATAGGACCATGTGCAAAGCCTGGAATCCCTCAAAGCTGAACTGGCTCTCATGAGCGATAAAAGGGCGGATTTAGAAAGACGGCTCACCACATCTCTAAGAGACAAAGACAGCTTGATACAACAGTTAGATGAAGCTAACGACAGGATCTCAGCCTTGGAGAGGCAGTTGAAGGAACAGGTAATAAAAAATTAGTACCGCTAAGTCATCAATTAGTTCAAGGTGAAGTTAATACGATAATATTGAGAAAATCTCATACTTAGATAGGCTACAAGTACTTGCATGAATAGAAACTTCTATACTAAATAATTTAGTTCGCCATTAATGCGTTCGTCTCTATAGTTTAAAATGTTATAACGTACGTCTTTGTACAATGTTTGGTTATTCCAAAGCTTCTCAGTAAATAATAAAGTCTTTGTCTTTGGGCACTAATACGCACTTAATTGGATGTGAATTCCCGTTCACGAGATTTTTCTCACGCAACTATGAATTAGATTTTATCGTTAATGCGTATTATATCCGCATTGTTATACGTAAGTTATATTAATAGTAAAAAACTTTAGGACTTGGATAAAAATGTGCGAAATTAAATTCTTCTATAGGAACATCTATACCAAAATACTCTCAAGGAGTTGGAGCGTCTGCAGAGATCTCATGACACGTTGGCAGAAAGAGTCGGTTCTGATCCAGTGGAAACCACGAACATTCCAAGGTCTTTACACGCGGAACTGGAATCGGAACCAGAAGAAGATGAGAACTGGCTAAGATCAGAAGCTGTTCAAGTGTTCAAGCAGTTAAGAGCATTAGCCCTCCAACTGAATACAGGCCATGACGATGATTCCGGTATGTATAGGACATTTAATTCGCTCGCAAAAAAATTACCTCACAATACTCCATACAGATACTGTTAAGTGTTTGAAAGCCGTTAATTTTGGATGGATTTTTTTTTACACGTAATTTCGGTATGACTTATAATTGTTATTCGATTTTAGCTTTTATTTGTATGGTAGTAAGGTCTATTATATGTTTTGGTTGTCGACACGCAATCAAATCGATACCTGTTAGAACACGCGTCGCATGAACTAGTTTCTATTTAACATCGGAATAACTGTTTCAAATGTATTGTACTTTTATTATTCATAGTTAATATTGAAGATTTCTTTCGTTCAAATTCTTTTAATAGAAGTATATAATATTTTTAATAGGAAGAAATCTCTTTTATTATGTTATTTATAATCAGCCTAATTCGGGAAAAGAACGGTTTTAAAATCATTGTAACTGAAATAACTTCGGTCCAGAATCTAGTAAATTAGATATAGATATAGTTTAAATTTTTTATATAACCAAGTTTGGTTAGGGAATTAATATTAAAAATATTAAGCCCCTAAAATATAAAACCAACCATTTTCAAACCTTAAAAATAATTCACGTAATATTATTTTATACTCAAAGAAAATATAAATTCTCCTGACATTTTTAGTGTCTATAATTAAAATATTTCCATCATATTATAAAATTAACGATATGAAAGTTTTTTCTAAACTATCAAAAACACCAAAAAAATGCTAATAATCGCAGTAATAAGCCTTGAAAGATGGAAAATTGGCCACGACTGTGGATTTGTCACGGGATAATCATTACTGTTTGAAAATAAAAAGTTTTTAAGATACAAGTAAAAAGTGTCGCATTGATCAATTGTTTTGAATAATTTAATATTTGATATCTACATTGCTTGTTAATTAATTTTATAAAGAACTTCAGTGAAAATATCTTTATATTTATTTCCGAGTCATATGTACTTTCTAAGAGTGTTTAGACACCACTGACTGATGAAAGAAAACATCGTTAGGAAACCTGGACTTATAATTTCAAATTATAAGTTTGAAATCACCAACCCGTCTTGAGCAAGCGTGGTGATTAATGCTCAAATCTTCTCCATGTGAGAAGAGGACTTACAGCAGTGGACTCTGATAGGCTGATGATGATGGTTAATTATTCCGAGTCTAGTATTGTAAATCGATCAAAATTTTAGCATAGATTGTTTAACTTGACATCTTTGTGTGTATGAAGAACTGTGTTCATGAATAAGTCGAATTAACGAGGGCTATTCGTGGCAGTTCGTGCCAGCCGATGACGTCACTAAATAAATTTTATTATAAAATAAAATACACCCACGCGGTTATACTAATCGTATAACTTCCTTATACTATTCTATCCTACTCGTGTTATAGACAAGTACTGCTCAATACAGCAATTTGAATATGGTCATATTACAGTTCTATATTGGACATTTTCAATATAGGGCAAAGCTTACAAGCAATATACGCTCCTTCATTACTTAGTCGTAGTTTTTGGTGGCAAAACAAATGTTATTAAAGCCATAAAAAGTTCCTGATCTTTGGTCAAGAGTTAAGGATGGGAGGAACAAAAATGAAACAAAATTTAAGCATATCTTTTGTTCTGGAATCTGGTCTATCGTGTGCTATAGAAAAACTATATTTGTGGGTTCGAATGAAATAATCATAAGTTATACATATAATGATGGGACTATATCAATTTTTATGATCAAATTTTATTTAAATTTCTTTAAATATGTAAGGAATAACAGATACTTATTATCGAAAAGACTAAAATAATATACATACTATTTTTCTTTATGTATTATAATTATTAAAACAGCGTTAATACAGCTTCATACGAGTACCTTAACCATGTCATTTAATATGTTATAACTCCCACTTGATAAACATAATTTAATGATGGAACTATCATTAATTCAATTTGGGTAAAAACAGTTGAACATACATAGTTGATTTAGTTTCCTTTACAGAACTGTTTATCTTCTTTAAAAACCAAATACTTTATGCCTTCTACAAAAGACGAGCACTTTGAATTGACTTTGACGCTTTCGTTACTACATCTAAACGAAAAACTTAAACTATTAACTACATAGTCTAATTTAATTCAAAATATAAAATGATTTTATAACAATTCATTATTATTAGCTATTTTCGCTATGAATACAATACAAGTTTCACACTTTTGCAATCATTGCAACATTTAAAAACTATGAAATTTTTATTATTATTTATATATAAATAACAATTGTTATTTCTATAAAATGAACATTTTGAATATAACAAGTTGTGCAATCCAATGTAAGTGTGTTATGCGATGAGTTATTTGCACGTATGTTCTCGTTACGTGTTTCGAAAATACACGTCACGATATTTCGTTCACAAATTTTATTATTTCGTATAAAATTTAAACTTTGAAATAGAAATTTACATTTATTGAAATATATGGAATATTTTTTATAATTAAATGTAAAGTTTAATATATAGAAACAATATACATAACTGAATATATAAAAGAAAGTTGTGTTAGTTATACTCTTTATAACTCAAGAACGGCTGTAGGGATATGGTTGAAAATTGATGGTGAGATATCTTAGAACCATTAGACGGACATACGATATTTAATTCTATTCAATGAATAAAAAATACTAAATAAATTCCAATATCTCGTTTAGTGCAGAATAGAGTTCGCTTATTCAGCTATACATACATATATTACTAATGCCGAAGTTAACGCGGACGAAGTCGCGGGCATAAACTAGTTGTATATAATAATAATAGTATAAAACCTTATTAAAACTGCTTTCCCCGATACATAAGTATCAATATCCGGTAGTAAACCGCACGATCTCAGTATTCGGTATTGTATTACTGTTTCCACATCTCAAATATTATACAGTACGTTCCAATTATAACAGCTACAGGATGTTCAAAACAATTAATAGATTAATTCACATTCCTTATATAATTGATATAAAAATTCAGTTTATATACTTTATATTATAAAATGATTAATATGTTAAAAGCTTCCTACTTGTCCTTGTGCTTGCGCAATAAAAAATGCATTATATGGTAAGTTTTATGGACTGGTAAGTTGTTGTGACCTTTCGCAAACGACCAGTCCACAGTGACTCACTATACCGGACTAATGACTAATGATTAAAAAAATCTCCAATAGATACAAACTTAGTATGAATTTTATATTATTACGTTTCAAAGGCTTATGTTAAAAGTTCTATTAGCAGATTATTTATACAAAAGACGATCTCGTTAACTGGTCGTAACGCAGACACCAATTATCGTCTGTCGTTTAAGACGGACGTCGCAAAAGAAAGCATAAAAAAAGCGTAACAAAATTAACTTTAGTTCAAGCTCTTTGAGGCTTTTACCTATTAATTGGTTTTCTTTTTTTACACAAACAGTTGTATGGACATTTTATATATAGATGAGTCCTATTAAGCAGTGAAGCAATTTAGCCATTTTCTTTACTTTTGCTTTAAACACTTCATTGTATTCTACAACATGCATTAAAAAAATGTGTATTTGTTGGTGGAAAGACTTAGTATATAATATATATTATAAACATATATATTTAAAAAACTAGTAGGTTTACAAAAAAGTTTATCAAGCTTAAACGACGTACATGTATGTCATAGTTGCTATGCGAAGTTTCAAAAGCATCAGTCGAATGTACAAGATACATGGAGATCAAACTAAAAAGGTCTCAACTGAAAAATTTTCATTTTGCAGTTTGCACATTAGCCCTTATACATAGCCAACGATATATCTAAGGATTCATTGCAGGTCTACATTCAGATCTATCTTTAACCTCTCTCGATGGTGATGATGGTGAGACTCTTCGTCGTGGCGCATTATCTGCTGCTTGTGCTGATGCTGTTGCCGCATATGCAGCATTAGAAGGATCCAGAGTGAGAGATTCCATCGCCTCTCACGCTCGTCGCGCCATGGAGAGAGAGAGACAGATAGATGAGAAGAATGAGATTATAGCGGAACTATCGTCCAAGGTTAGTGAAATCAACGAAGGAATTGTTAATATAAAAGGAATATATAAATATAGGAGTATATGAAATATTATTAAGAGCTGTCTGGTATTGCTCAACAATGGCGACGTTTGTTCTATTGTCTATGTTTGTTGTTTGTTTCTGGTCCTATGACATTTGCTAATAATCTCATAATTATAATTACAACATATATACATACATATACATAGGTATTTGAACTTATTTGTATGATTGACGATATTCGGTCATCGCTTCTAGATTAGAAACGGTATCAAATTTACGGTACGTTTTGTCACTGTACTATAAAAAAAAATAACGAATAGGATGTTTTTCATGGCTTTTTTCATTTCGGAGTGACAAATTTATTAGTAGGTATATGTTATTTTATTAAACATATTATGAAGACTAAGAATTTATTTAAACATAGATAATATTTTGTTTAAATAACTTGTTTTAACTATAAAGGATTTAGAAACTACATTATTTAGAATGACTCATGCAGACTACCCACGATCACATTATGCCAAAATATATCACAATAAAAGCGGTATACAAAAGCAATTTTATTTGGGAAGTTAAATTCCAAAATCCTTCTTAAATCTCAGTTAATTTCTACCAGTTATCTGGTATATATTTCAGTTAAATCTCTGCTACAATAGTTCAAAGTTAATATATAATTGTACAATGTCTGAGCGTGCGTGACGCGGTCATAGGCCCGGGCGTTAACCCGCGATGCAAAACCTCCGATACGTATTTAACTATTAAGTTTAGTTATATATATTGTTTGTTATCAAAAAGCTACATTAATATAACATAGTTTTCAAGCGTTTGCTTTAGGTATATAGAGGATTTGAGGTTGAAATATTGTATGTAATTTCTTTGTTTTATATTATGGCCCATTGCCCATGGACATGAGCAAAAAAAGGGTTATTGTAGTGAATATTTAACAAACAATCTAAATATATTGTATAATCTATATATAACAGATATGTTATTTTATAGTTACGTAAATTGTAATAAAGTATTGTTTGTAATTCGATAACCACAAATTCTTTTGGACTAGATAATCTCAACGGAAGCTTTGAATGGCAGAATCGTTTATTTATAGAGATGACCAGATATATAACTCGGATGATTTTAAAACAATGAATCAAATAAAATCTATTTAATCTGGATTTTCGTACCGTGACTTGATTTACAAACGGCAGGTTTTCATAATGATTGACTTTGACGATTCATTCCGGTTGTTACATACGTTGAAAAACATTAAAACGGACATTTAGGTGTACATGAGTTTTTGTTGTTCTGCATCGTCAAGTTTTATTTCGTTTCAAGATGTATAAAACGAAGAATTTGTTAAAAGATACAATTTTAGCAAAAAAAAAATTGTATACACTGCTTTGTAACTTCGTAATTTTTTCTCTACAATACTTAAATACTAGGTTTTTTTTGGGCATGCTTTTCCTCTATTCTTGCTATATAGTAGCTTCAAATGAATGTTATATATTTCCAGCTGTCAGTGGCAGAAGTTGAGCTGCGAGCGTCAGTTGATGAGAGAGATAAGCTGTTGAATGACGCGACATACAGCAGCTTACAGCATGACGAAGCTGTCACCAAAGCCAGGCAGGAGAGGGATGAAGCTATCGAGAGGAAAAAGGCCAGTGAGGTAAGAAAAAATACGATTAAGAACTTTTGACTTCGTTAAGTAAGGAATTACAGATGCTAGAAGAACTTTTACCTTTATTTTATATGTTCTATCAGTCAATGGTCTCTTTTTGCTCCATTATAGCTGTAAATACTTCGTAAAATAAGGAGTTACAAACTGTTCAAGGATTTTTACGTACTTTGTAACAATTTAAGGTGTTTAAATGATCGTCATTATATGTTTTCTTATAAACAATTCCAGGTCGCTCTGGCTAAGACACGCGTGGAACTGATGCAGGCTAACAGCCAGTTGTACGAGGCGGTGAGACAGAAGATAGACCTGGGACAACAGCTTGAGCAGTGGCAGGTTTGTACAGCATTGATAAATAACGTTAAAAAGCCTTCGTAGGTAATGAACACCTTGGATACTATCGCTTCAGAAAGGAAAAAGCGCCTGGATAGAAAAATTTGCTTAAAGATCAAATATATATAAATACAACAGTAGCTTCAATTCTTAGTCACCACCAGAAGTCACGACTAATGAAAATGTTTAACACCAAATAAATTTGTTTTATAACAATGTATTCTTGTTGAATCGATTGCACACAACATATCGAGAGTTAACTAAAATCAACGTCTTTTAAAACCAATACGACTTTGATCTATTGGAAGTTAATTTGCTATTATAATATTTCCAGATGGACATGCAGGAGCTCATAGATGAACAGATGAAGCACAAACTGACTTCACAGGAGAAGCGTCGCAAGCTCCCCCCACCACGCGCGCCGACACGCACCGAGAGATTATTCGGTCTCTTTCATCGGTAACTTGATCTTTAGTGACGTCATTACCCCCCCTCCTAATATTTCCCCCTCCACTGACATCTCACAGCCGCCATCTTGTGCAATCCATTGGACATCGCGGAGTTCATATTTCATAGTATAATATTGTATTCGATACCGTGTGATGTTTACACGTTAGCAGTGATTTTTAGTGTATTCTTTAGGAATGTATTAGTAGTTTTACATTTAATTTTAAAGGTAGCTTTTCCCGATGTTTTGTGCATTCCGTACAAAGTAATTTACGATACTCTTTTACTGTTGACTTGTGGATACCGAGCTGTTGAGAATTCGACGAATCATAGATTGTTGACGAATTTAAATTAACAATAAACTGTTATAACTAATCCGCCATTTTGTTTCGTATTGTCAGCCATTTTGTCATTGTGACATCTAACATACAAATAACCCGGCTACGTCATAAGTCTCTGAAGCTCAACTAAATAATAAAATAGAGAATAATAATAAAATATTCTAGACACGAGAAATACAATAAAATTTCGAATCTTTAATGTACAATTATAAATGTAAATAACACTAGCAGTAGTAAAATTTTTGGTGCACCTTGGAATTTAGTTAACACAACGATAGCCATATTTAAAACATTAATATTAGAAATAAATGAATTGCAATTTAGTATTATATTATTTAATACAGCATTAACAATGTTGTGTGCCTTAATAATTGAATTTATTACTATAATAAATAAAACGAACGCCTTACAAAGTGCCTTTCAATACATGCAATACTAAATTCCTTCGAATTTTAATATATGAATTAGTTGTAAATAGAAATTAAACGTATTTAAACTGCACCATACTTATTTGATACGATACGTACTTATTTGTACTAACAAAAAAAAAATTACTGTCAAAATGACATCTGTCAATGTCAATGTTACTTGTAACAGATTATATATATCTGTGTCTCTTTTAATAATTTAATAAAAATAGAAGATCATTCTGTAAAATTATTATCACTCCGTTTTAATAAAATAAACGTGCATGTGTTATTGAATTATATTTTATAAATTATTAAAAAAGACACATCGACTTTTAAAATGCAATTTATAGTTTTTATGTATAATTTTAAGGAATCAAACATTATTTGAAAGAGCGATTTACAATTATTGTAAAATATTTGACAGACTGACCGCATTATGGTCTGTAATAAAAAAATTCACATACATATGTATAAGAATTACTGATTTTAATTTTTTACAGTTTACTAAGTTTTTTTAATGACATCTCCTTGAAAATTAAAAAATACTTTTCAGCACAAATAAAAATCATTCCATTAAATTTATTTTATTAATATCAATTAATTCATAATAAATGTAACATCAACAATATCTCAGATAAGTACTTAAAGAATAATTTAATTTTAGATCTAATGACTAGTTTATATATATTAATATGCAATTATTGGAATAATAAAGAGAGAAATTTTAAAATAATTCTTTTATTATTTGAATTTATCCTTAAAAAGTATATGTACATCATAAAATATGTTAAAATATAGAAATTTAAGAAATCGCTTTAATTTTTTTTAAACTTTCCTTCTTTCATCTGACAGACATATTCATATATGTACAAATATATATAACAAAATAAAGAAAATTTATATGTTATATAATTAATAATTATATATATGTACATATAAAGTTTGTTATTAAATTTGAGGCACATATTAAATAAATTATAATTCCTCTGTAGTTCTCATATAATTGTCTTACACTCTCAAAGTCAAATAAAATTAAAAAAATATTCACATCAGCGAAAAAATCGCTGTCAAATTGCTAATTTTGTTTTGTTATGAAAGAAGATTTATTTCTTGTTATCGTTTACAATTGAGATAAAAATATGCCGACACAAGTTGAACAGAAGACTATAGACCCAGAAGCAGAACTAAGCAATGTCCAAAGAACGGTGAGTGAAAAATAAATTAATATATATTGTCACTTGAAAAAAATGTAGAAATTTATGTAATAGTTATAAATATTTCAGCTGATATCACAAAATTGATAAATAAAGCAAATAATATCCTATCTAAAAAAGAATTTTAGTTGACTAATGGTGAAAAAGAATGTATTTTGTTCAGATTGATATTGTAGTTATTCTTCGTAGTTCCAAAAATTGGCACCGACGTGTAGCGTTGAGAAAAGAGCGGGAGGTGAACCACAGTTGGCGCCACAAGAGAAACAACTGGCTATATTGGCCGCTGAACTGAGAGAAACACTACTCTGTATTAATGTTAGTTATATACTAAAGTTAATTACAGCAGTCATATTATTATTAATTTTCGATAATACAATTTCTATTTAGAAATTAACTATTTTTCTTCCAAATATTGAGTTCCTTCTATAGTACTATTAAGAATATAAACTTTGTCTACTCAGCTAGTTAGATAAGATTTAAAAGATACATATAAATAATAATAAACTAATAAATGACTCTTTCTATACCTTAATCCAGTTGGCCAAAAAAGGTCAACACGCACTCAGAGATAATGTCACTAAAAGCGGCACATGCAAGTCCATCGTGGATTATGAACAGCTTGAAGGACAGTTAAGAGATGAACGAGCTCAGAGGGCTGAACTAGACTGTTTGAACTATCTCGCGCAGAAACAACTTGTGGAACTACTGAAGAAAGTACCCACAGAAGCTGATGTAGGTTAAATGACGATAACTAGCTCAAATCTGATAGAAATGTAGTTGAAACAGCTCTTGCTGGTATCTAAGCAGGTTTATGTAGACATCAGAATTATATTTGACTCGTTAAATGTGGACTAAATGTAATCTATTTCTCCTTTAATCGTATATAGTAAAATATAATGACCTCATTAGAACTTTTCAATGTTGTGATCCTTCCAGGAACTAGCGATGATTGAAAATGCGAATAACCGTCTAAAGCGTATGGAAAATCGTTTGGATTTAGCGACAAAACGCTTCTGTCTAGTCAATACTGACAATAAGAAAGTCCGCGAAGAAATAGATCGGCTACTTGTTGAAAGGTTTTCTGTTTCGTATATTTTATGATGTCTTTGGTAAATTGATATGATATCAAAGTGTTCAATATTAAATGTATACAGGAACGATTTTAACATCCAATGGAACCGTACCATTGGGAAACTTGTTAAAGGCAAGGAATATCTAATGGATATATTTGAGATCGCTACCAACGCTTTCGGAGATAGAGACGAGTGCTGTCGCAAACTAGAGGCACTGAAATGGAAGGGACTGTTTCAACTTAACAGAGATATATCGGTAGAATCACCAAATAATTGATATAAATAATAATGGCTATGTTATAACAATATTGATTCAAGTAATTTATATAGGAAATGCAATCGTATGAAGGAGAGTTGAACCATTTAGCAAAACTCGAGGAATTTCTTCGCGTCAAAGGTTCAAGACGAATCTGTGAAGCTGATGAGAAGGAGGAGGTCAAGAGACAGGAGGAAATTCAGAGATGCGAACAAGAAATATCCAGACATGACGCTCTCTTAGAGGCGATATTCGTGAGTCAATCATAATACTTGGCGTTTCTTCCTTTATTTTAATATAAAATGATTAATATATTGTTTCATTGCTTGATTTTTTTTACATTTTAGTGGTTTTATTGAATATATTCGTGAAAACAATTCTGATTGAAATTCCATTGCTATAGAATGCAGGCATATTCAGAGTTTTATAAGCTTTTGATTCTGATGTTATACTTTAAGATAAATAATTGGTGAAGACTGAAATTGGACTGTATTTTATTTTAATTTCTGTTATAATTTCAAGAGCTACGCCGGTTCCGATCGCCTAACAACCATTATAAGCAACTTCGAAGCTACGGAAATACAGAACTTTTCCATATTCGTTCTCCTTTGTGAAGTTCTACAAGATTCAATTTTCTTGAGACGCGATCTTGATTTACTTCGACAAAAAATAAGTTAGTTCAATTTATCTTATGTTCATTCTTTGTGAGTAAATTACTTCTTGTATATATTTTTTAACAAATTAGGTATGTAACATATGCAAATTGATTTAAGGTACTTTCTTATTATCTTATTATTAATATTATAACTTACCACTTCAACTTTGTTTATGAATTGCTATTCTAAAACAAAATGTAGGTTGTAGTCGTAAACGGTTGTCAAATTGTGACAATACTGAATAAGTATGAAATATATAGAATCAATTGGTAGTATTGAGTAAAATGTTTCATCTGTTCAGTCGATCAGCGAGATATTAACGAAGCTCGCGAGGAATACCAGGCGAGGAGATTAAACGAACTGACAGCGGCCCTACAAGCACAGCGTGATAGGACCTCGAAGAAACGTGATGAAGACGCGGCCGCTGAAGCCACGGTCATGAAAGTCCTTAAAGGCATCGACGACCTCGTCAGGTAAAGTTAGGATAGAATCTTTAACACTTGCATACAGTCAGTGGCGGGGCAAGACCTAAATTTGATGTGGGCAAGACAGATTTCGCGAGGCCCTTTTCTATGGAAACTTGAAGCTCTTACTACCAGCTAGTTTTAAAAACTTAAACGTCGATGTTTTTTTTACACTTAAAGCTTTGGTTTCCTTCAAAGGATATTATAAAGCCTATTTTATAGACAAGTAATTACTGCGTTACGTACTTATCACCAATTAAATATTTGTTACTTTATGTAAAATAGACGAGTACAGGTACTGGTGTATTACAAATCACAAAGAAAACAAAAATAATTAAAAAACGTCACTGTTCGGGGGCAACCAATATACTTAAACACTATCTATTTAATCACAACATGTAAAACAGACCCTGGCTATAGCTGGGAAATTCCTAGGAAGAAGAAGATTTTTTTTTAATTCTCTAAAATTTTTGAGGGGAGAGGCCCCTTGTACCGCGAGGCCGTAGGCGGTGGCCCACGTCGCCCACGCCTTACGCCGCCACTGCATACAGTTAGTAACAGTTAGGTGGATATGCTTATTCTATATTGGGGACTCGTATATTTATTCATCTTGGCCTAGAGGTAAAACGCCCGCCTCTCATGTATGAGGGCGCTGGTTCGTGACCTGGCAAGTTCCAATGTGATTTTTCTAAGTCATACGTACTTTCTAAGAGTATTTAGACATCACTGACTGATGAAGGAAAGCATCGTGATTAAACCTGGACTTATAATTTCACAATTATAAGTTTGAAATCGCCATCCGTCTTGAGCAAGCGTGTTGATTAATGCTTAAACCTTCTCCATGTGAGAAGAGGCCTTTGCTCAGCAGTGGACTCTGATAGGCTGATGACGAAGTATATTTATAATATTAATTGATTTGCTAGAATAGCGAGATGCGAGGTGACCCCACTCTTGTCACTTCTGGGTAATCACAAGGAGGTGACTAAATGGAATGTGAGCAAGTTTCTGAAGATTTTGGAGGCGGAGGTGAAGAGTCTCATTGAAGTCGTGTATGGGGCAGTTAAGGTAAAAAAAGATTTGTGATATAGTGCATTTAGTAAGTCACTCGAAGTCAGCCAAGTATGTATAAAATTTCTTAAATTTTTATTTAAATTTAAATATTCCTTTATTTGTATTTCCAATTATTTTATCAAATTATTATTTTTGTTTTTTTTTTATTATAACTATGTCAAGAGTTTCTCTTAATAAGCTAGCTAGTTCAATTTTTTTTTACTGATACTTAACATTAGCTATTGTAGTAAAGAACTATTCATAATTACTTTTGTATAAGTATATTTTGTAGTTTTAATTTACACGGAATTTATCGTGAATGTCATCTCTATATCGATTGAAAAGATAAAAAAATACTGTAAAACTATATTTATTTGATTGACAATACGTTTATAATTATTTTTAACAACATAAGTACTCTTTACGTTTCGGTTACTTTGCAGGAATATTTATTTCAACGCGTAGTACCTAAATACGAAACATATTATAAATAGTTTTATTTCAATGATATCTCATTAATTATGTTGTATTAGAGAAAAATATTAATATTTTTCAGCCACCAGCACCTACGCCGAAAGGGCGTAAGGGTTCTCCACAAACGTCCACGAAGCTCGTGGCCGATCCATACGTAGAGACACTGAGACCCAATAGAATTGAAAAGCTGGTCCCATATCAACCGTGTGCATAGTACGTGGTTTTAGCAAATAAATATTTCGATTTATAGAGTTTAAATCACAAAACTGTTGTATAAAACGAAAGATAAATATGTTGAAAACACATCAATCATGTTACATGGCGTAGACTTTTCTGTTATATCAACATTATCCTATTTCATTCCTTGCTTTTGTAACATTATATTTGTTTAATTGAATGTGTTTATGAATGAAATTCCATTGCAATAATGTGCATCCAAGTTTAAATTTAATACATAGAATACTTTTAAACTCAAAACATATTATTTGATAAATACTATTGTGTTTCTACTTAAAGTTGCGTTGAAGATTACATCATGAACCTGGTGTTTGAGACGCCCGCTGTTCCAGCCGATAAAGAGTACATCGAGGGCATTTTCCACCTCGAAGATATCAACACCAAGTTTGGGATATTCACATTGACGATTCCTGCGTAAGTTTACGCAAAAAAATGTATACTTTTTTTGTTTGACAGTTCCTAAAAAGCGTATAATTTTTGCAGGAAACGTCATCCGTACAGAGGAGGGAAGAAAGATTGATATTATTCATAAACTTATTTTAATTGCAAAGGTTTTTTTTATAAAACATTTTTTTGATTTAATACCTCTTTTGATAGGCTGTTGTAGATTTATGAGAACCGTAAGGTCATTTTTATGTGACAACACTACAGGCTCGGTAAAAGTGTTGGGTTGTATAAATTTGAAACAAATAATTTACTGTAAAAGTTGTTAAAGTTAATAAATTTGTCATTTGAAATCTGAAGTTTGTATTATTTTACAGTTGATATATGGACAATAAGTACCTTAAATTCTCTTTCTAGTTTCCTCTGTCAAAAGTTTTTCAGGTATAGATCTCTTAAGAGATTAGTTATCCTTTGTGTATTCAAATATTTTTTAAAATACTTTTAAAAATGAATAGATAAATACTATACTATGCTAACTCGAAGTTGGCATCGTCACTGCATACGGAGCGATACTAATTTATTTACTCAGTCTTTGCACGTAATATTATTAGATTCTTGAATGAGAAACGAGAAACGCATAGTTTAACGTGTGTTGTGAATTTGTGACACGCATACATAAGTAAAAATAACAAACCAATTAATATTGTTATCTATATAGATTGTGTTATAATACTACACAATAGTTACAGTTTAAATAGAAATATTTGTATTATTATTGTAGTTTAACACAGTGACATGAAAATATAAATTCCGACTTGGTACGTATCAGCAAATTCCTATTAAGGCGTTTCAAAGACATATAAGTATTTAAAATTGTAACTAGCGTATAAAATTTGTTATAAGCGAGACCTAATTAGATAAGGAAAAAATGTTTTTATTAATTTTAGAAATAATGTTAAGGAAATATGCATTACAACTTGTATTTGACAAATACAACAGGGCTACCACCAATTTCCAAAGTTTCAAATATGAACACATTAAAAATAAAATATATTTATAAATATTACAAACAAGAAATAAAAGCAAAAGTTGATTTTAAAGAAATGGCATCCATTAATACGTAGCGAAGTACAGCATAAATTTTATAGTTTGTTTTTTTTTATATGTTTATAACGGCAACACCAATATGATTGAAGATTTGTATTTGGGTTTCTCCTTAAAGGATTTAGATTCACAATCAGTCTGGGAGATGGCGCTGCAGGCAACAAGTCGGTTATTCAAAATGAAAAAAGACTGTAACGTAAGTTACCATACGTATGTATTGTATTAACACACTACACATTTCTGTCTGACTCAACTATAATGTTAACGAGAGAGGAGTCGCGAGCAACAACTAGTTTAATAACTTACAATGTTTTAGGGAGTATTTCCGTGAAATGTACAGAACGAATGAATGCTTTTCAATTAAGAAGCTTAATCGTACAGCTACTAACGCTTACTCGTACAAAACACTATAATTCGTTGAATTTTATCCGGACCAAATAAAAATAAGTTGCTGGTCAACAATTAAAAGTTTAAAAAATAATAAATCATATTATAATAGAATTGTTACAAAATATTTCTTGGTTGCTTAGTTTTATGTATATTATGCGTGTAATTTGACTAAGGAAGGAACTGCGTCAGCATTGGCCTATTTAACTTTGTACCAGGAAAAAATACATAATTATTTTTAAATTTCATGAAGTCACCTTCAGAGTGAGGCAGATCAGTTCCATTACTAGCTTTAAATTTAAAATTTACAAATGTTATGTAACAAGTTATACAGTTTTGCATTCCCATTTCCCAGATACAAGCACATAAATTGATTTATATTAATAGTGTTGGCATTCATTTATTAAATTTGGATTCAAGATATGAAAATAACCGATAGTAAAATTTACTGACTTTTATATAGATTAATTTATATTGAACATCCTTTGAAATTTTTATTTGTATACAATAATGTTCAGCAAAGCTATTACTCAGCCTTTATTTGTTATAAAAGGCGTGCTAAAATATTTTTATGCTGCAGTTCATTTTTCGCTATGAATAAAATAAAGCGTGGTCATTTGTACATATTTCTAATATGCGTTATTTCAGTGAAAATAATATCAACAAATCAAGACAAAGTATGTTATTATAAAATATACCATATAATTTAGTTGTGAACCATAATTTAGCAACATTAATCTACTTTCAAATTGTAACTGAATTTTTAAGAAATAAATTTTATTTCGTTTTTTGAACCAGAAAATATAGATTAACTCTACAACGTCATGTAATATAAAACGATTTTGTATTTTAAAGTAATTTGGTTGTTTAAACTTCCAGAAGGATCCTATAGTGACTGTTAAGCAAGGGATGTTGAGAGGAGAAAGTGACCTTTTATTCAATGGCGCAAAATATTACAGCTTCAAAGGTATACCGTACGCTGCTCCACCGATTGGGAATTTACGATTTAAGGTTAGAAAGATTGCAATTCAAACTGCTATTTGGAATAAACTAATTGCTGGTTCAATTTTAAATAAATCTATATCATATTATGTTAACAAGTTGAAGAGGCTTAAATTTTTAATTTATTAGAGAATTACTGTTTAAGAAAAATAAGTATTTTTCTCCAAAGTAATGGGTATACACTGCTCGTTTCCAATTTCGTTTAGTTGATAATAAAATTAATTAATTTCAGCCACCACAGCCCCCTCTGCCGTGGAAGGGCGTCCGAGATGCAACGAAATTTGGATCAGTTTGCACTCACTTCAATATAACAAAAGTAGGTGACGAGGACTGTTTGTTTTTGAACGTATACACCAGATATTTGAATAAAAATGCCAAAGCTCCAGTAATGATGTACATCTTCGGCGGAGGGTTTTCATATGGATCAGGAAACGTGTTTTACGCAGACTTTTTGTTGCAACACGATGTTATATTAGTGACGTTGAATTATAGACTCGAACTGCTCGGTTTCCTGTCTTTGGATATACCAGAGGCACCTGGTAACGCTGGGATGAAAGACCAGGTCGCAGCGATGCGCTGGATAAAGGATAACATTGTAAACTTTGGGGGAGATCCCGATAAAGTGACAATTTTAGGGGACAGTGCCGCCGCAGGATCTATTACGTACCACATCGTGTCTCCGATGTCCAGGGGACTTTTCCATAGAGCGATAGCTCAAAGTGGCTCCTGTTTTAATGATTGGGCTTTAGCAACAGATAAAATTAAGAGAGCTTTTAGAGTTGGGAAAGTACTGGGGAAAGAAACAGACAATGTCTATGAATTGTATCAATATTTCATGTCCTTAGATAAGTTCAAACTGACAAATGTTACTTTGTCTTCTACTACATATGATGAAATGTATCGAGGTCCTCCAGGACAGTTTGTACCAACGATAGAAAAGAAATTTCCGGGCGTAGAGGCATTCCTAACTGAACATCCGATTAAAATTGTACAAAAAGGTAATGTGGCGAAGGTACCTTTAATGATTGGTTACAACAATGGAGAAGGACTGCTTTATCTTAATCGATACCTCGAAAGACTGGCTGTTTACAGTAAAGAACCTTCGTATTTCGTTGGCAAACAAGTAGCTAGCCAGGTATCGCATGAGAAATTAGAAGAATTTGGCCAAAGAATAATAACATTTTATCTTGGTAATAAAACATTAACGAAGGAAGATATTAAACCTCTCACGGAATTAAATGGAGACACCATTTATAATTACAATATACACAGATTCATCAATAGCTATGCTAGTGTGAGCCATCCAATATATATGTACCAATTCCACTTTGATACCGAGCTGAATGTAGTCAAAGTTATGTATGGCGTCAGACATCTTAAAGGTGTGTGTCATGGAGACGAACTTTGGTACGTGTTCAAGAACTTTTGGAACGATTATCTATATGAGAAACATTTGAGGTTGAGGGCAATTATATTCAGGGTGTCTAAAATCTGGACGGATTTTGCGAAAACAGGGTGAGTTACATATAAAAAATTTACATTCATCAAATTTATTCTCTTTGTTAAATAGAATAATCTCAAAACTTGAAATGTTATGATTGCTTTATATAAACATTTGCATCATATCATATTATATACGTATATATATTACATACGAAATATTATTTCGGCTTTAAACTTGTACGTGAAATATCAAAAAATTAATGCCGTTTTATCATTTAACCGATAGTACTGGTTGATATAATAAAAATAATATTGAAAATAATATAAATTATATATATTTCCAGGGAACCAATATCCAGAAACAGTGATGAAGAATACTGGAGGCCTTTTACAATAAAAAATAAAGAATATTACAATATAGACGAAACATTCTCTATGGGTTACTACGCTGACAGAGAGAGAATTGAGTTTTGGGATAAAATATACGAAGAAGCTGGATTGCCACATATAAAATCCATAAACATAGAATCAGAAGATACAAACTTAATATAACTTAAAGTAAAAAATCTAAATCCAGTTTATAAATAAGTGTAATTGTAATTATAAGTGCAGTTATTTTTCAAATAAACCTTATTTTAGTTTAAAACTATGTGTGTATATTTTTTTTATTAATAAATCCGAATGTTGTAATAGTTCAGAATTTATGGCATTTGTATATAAAATTTTAATATTACCATTTTTTAATCTAAATGGCACCTAGATATTTTTAAAAAGGTAAATTTAATAGTTTACGTTATTTCATAAAACAAGAAAATCTAAATTCTTAAGCATAACACAAAAAAATAACTTTTCCCAAAGATGGCGTTACTTGCCGCCTTTCCAGTCGATGCACTTCTTGAAAATTAATCAAATATACAACTATAGTTAAATTTGTTTCATCATATTTTGTAATAAAGTCGTCAGAGAAATATGTATGAAATTAACAAAAATTTACAATAAAGTACTTTATATGCAATTAGAGACAATCGAAATCTATATATATTTTTTAAATATCACTTGTAGTTATTTTACTATCTTTAAACAATCACACTAAAATGTTATCAACATTTCTTGCCTCGCGATGATAAAAAACAAATATTTTGCAATAATGCATATCCTAAAGTTATCCTTGAGGTAGCGACAGTATGGAAAAAACTAACGTTAAATGTAAATTTCCTGGTGGCGAATTTATTACGTGTAAACTGCTGTCTGCGACACTTTAAATGAGACACTCAGTGTACACAGCGAGTGTCATAAAAGGTTTGAAATTTTTCAGACACTTCACTACATTTGATCGCACAAAATATTATTAACGTTAGACAAGGATATACAAAAATACACTCAAAAACAGTTGACTCTTCTACACTAGATATTTATTTATATTTAAAAGTCACATATATATGTAATTTTAACCACCATTTAATAATTTTGTTGATATTCTATTAGTTCATGATTTAAATCTTCGGGTATACAGTATTGATTAATTGAAAACAAAATGTCCTAACTGCCACTATCATAACTTTTGTTTAGAATTTAATATCCAAGATAAACATCTGCCTGAAGATTAGAAATACGACATTTATAATGTTAAAGTATACATAAATTTCTCAGCCTACATTAAATCAGAAACTGAAGAAGACTCGTTCTATTAAATATCTTTTAGTGTTTAAAGCTTATTGTGTTTCACTATGAAAAAAATAACGAAAATATTATAATAGAGGTATGGTTAAGAATACAAAAAGATGTTATTATTTTAAACTATAAAAAATAAAACAACGACAACATATACTACCTATGGTTTATAATATAAAGTAAATTACGACAAAAGTGTTTTAATTAATTTATTTACTATTTTCATTAACAATAATAATTGGTTGTTTAAAATATCGCCTTCATCCATACAACGACGAACACAGTATATTCTGCCAATGTCGTGAAGAATGGAGGAGAAACGATCCGGAATTAATTTTTAAATGAAATAAAATCTAACGGCTCCAACTGTTCGTAAACAATTATAATACTAATGTCAAAAACTCTTTATAGCCAAACATTTTTCTGTCATTGACATTCGAACAGTTTATAAAACTTCTTAAGTCCTAAAATACAAATATTATTTTTTTTTACACTATCATACATAGAATACATGCCGGATTTAAAATAATATTCTAATTTGAACCTCGTGAAATCCGTTTTCTGTATTACGTTAATAAATCGTATAAATAAAACTAGGTATATATACACAAACGCATACATGCATGTTTAAAAAATAACAACACTTTTGTTAGTATGGCAATAAGTTAATAGAAGTCAAATGTTGCCACTTTAACTGTACCTTGCCATAAATAAGGTTGTAATATGAGTTTAGCCATTACTATACACTTATTTATTATTAAAAGTTAAAAGGCAACTTAAACATGATTAGCAACGTAAAAATATCAAGTAATACTAAAAGTGAGCTACAGAAAATACGAGAACCTTTCTTGTATTTATTAATCAATAATAATACATCATCCTTTTTGTGTAGTTAAAATAATGTACATGATCAAAATTAACCAGTTAAATAATTAAAAGAACTGGTTTCAAAAATTATAATTTCAGTTAGATTATTTAAAGGTAAAATCTTTTTTTCATACAACTTACTTAATATTTATTTTCACAGTTCAATGCGTAATGATGACTCATTATTATAAATGTTTTCTCGGCTGGTAACATTAACGGAGTGTATCTTTGTTTGCGTGTGTGAGTGATGTCTCGGACTCTCCGCCATTGAATTTCTTTAAGGCCGAGAACTGAAATAGGTTGTGTACCTTAGTAATCGGCAAATATCTCAACAATCTCTTAACTATTTCTTGTTCTATTTAGTCAAATCCCGTGCACAAACATTATATCCGATGGCAGACAGAGACACAGATGAGTTAAACATCGATAACGTAATAAAAAAATTATTAAAAGGTAAAGACCAAAAATATTACATAGAAATACTAGTAGTGTTATGTGTAAAAAATATATATATTCTAATAATAAATTATTATGATTCCTGTGAATTAAGTGACGTGTATGTTTTCAGTACGGGGCGAAAAGCCTGGTATGAATGTACAATTAACGGAAATCGAGATAAAAGGGCTATGCTTGAAATCACGCGAAATATTTTTATCACAACCAATATTACTTGAACTTGAAGCACCTCTGAAGATATGTGGTAAGTAAAACGAGTACACCATTACATATAGCTTGCGACTTTCGAATCCACCCTTTCTCGCATTGTTCAACTTGCGTCTTGTCAACTTAAGTACACCATTCAAAAACTTTTTTTTCTTCAAACCTACTTATAATATATAATATTAAATATGCCATTAATCTAAATATCTCGTATAATTTCTTTAGAAAGTTTATACACTCGATATTTAAATCGAGGGGAAAGTTACTTAGCATGGTGTACACTCGTACAGATTAAGCAAAATATTTTTTATATAATACGAGTTTTTGTTTCCTTATACGCGTATGCAAATACAAATAAAAATATAATTTTAATGTTATTATATTTTATTGACTCATTTATTATCTTTGATGAAATAAATAGCTGTGCTTGGTTTATACATTTATGTAAAATATTGGTTTTAGTTCTAGATTATGTGTTTAAGTTCAATACATATAGAATTAATTTAAGTTTAAACTTATTTTAAGTGAATTAAAAAGTTTTAATTACATAATAATGTCATAAAAAGTTACTTTCTATATAAACTGCTTATCTTTTTAGTTCCCTTAAAATAACTCAAGACTAAATTTTCATTGTCAATTATAAAATTTTGTTAAGTTTAAAAATTATTTAGATATTTATTTACTATTTTTATTATTATTAAATGTTGATCAAATGATGTTTAATACTACATAATTGCTTTGCTGTTACAAGTAAATAATGTATTTGGTATATAATGTATATGGTTACTTTGTTTGACCATACCAGAAAACATTTCAACAAGCTTATGTGAATGCATGTTTAGGCTACTGTTCTATACACAAATTAAGCTATGCTGTTATCAAGAAAAGTTTTTTATTAAAATTTAAATAAACTCAAGTTATTATGTTAAAATTTTTGAGGCGTAATTTATTCAAAAATTTTCAGTAAAATGTGTGAAGTTCATAGTTTTGATCAAATATTTGACAAATGTTGCAATAGTATTAAAAAAATTCATAATACTGTTACAAATGTATGTATTATTGTAATATTTCAACAATATTATTGCTTGAAGTGTTTGAAAGCAGAGCATTTTGTTTAAATTCCATTGGCTGAAGCTATTTCATTTTATTTCAAATTTCCAATCACAATAGTTTTGCTTACAAATTGCCTAATAACTGAATAGTATCTATAAATCAGTGGGATCCTATTAAATTAAGTAGCGCTTTAAAATTCATCAAATAATATATACCTAATTCATAAAATCACATATTTATTTGTTTACAAATGCTATATTTTTATAGAAGATTAATAAATTTGTCTTTTAAGTATACATTTTTCACAAAATCACAACTTTCTATATGCAAATTTTATATAAAAAGTTTTTTTTATATATCTATCAAGGTAAAACTGGCTTAGTTTAATTTCAAAATGATTTCTATTCAATCTATGTCCATCTTTGTTCCTTGTTAGTTCTCATATAGTAATATGTGTATCAAAATATAAAAATTTTATATATTAAACAATACTGCTTATAAATAATGTTAATGAAATCTTTTCCTTGTAAGGATTGATTAGTCATACTAAAATGTTGTATGATAATATTTGACAATTTTCTTCTACTTACAATATAAATGACTTTCTAAACTATAAATAAAATGAAATTTTTTATATTCATGTTTTAGTAATAAAGTAATAATTGTTTAGAAGTGAGAACTTGATCCTTGCGGCTTTATAATGCAGTAATCATTTTCAGCGACAGCCTTTATTTGTAATCATGTATACATAATGTAATATTATTATTTATTATGTACATTTTAAGTAACGATATATAATTCAACAGGGGATATTCACGGTCAGTATTATGACCTTTTGAGGCTGTTTGAATATGGAGGTTTTCCACCTGAATCCAATTATTTGTTCCTTGGTGACTATGTGGACAGAGGCAAGCAATCCTTGGAGACTATATGTCTCTTACTAGCATACAAGATAAAGTATCCGGAGAATTTCTTCCTTTTGAGAGGCAACCATGAGTGTGCTAGCATCAATCGAATTTACGGGTGAGTATAAAGTTAGTAACTCCATAGATATATTTCATAGATTATCTATAGATTTATATTTTTAATCCATCTCTAATATAAGGAAAATATTGCAAAATAAAAACACGATTTTCTCATAGTTATTCAATCGTCATGATTGAAAATTGTCTATAACTAGGTCGTTTGAATTTTTATTGTAATAAAATACATTACGTATTTTTAAAAAGCTATATTAGATGTACTTTTGATGTTTATTATATATGTAATAATAATTTTAAGTCTTTTTTGTTTGTAAATACAGTTTTAAAGGTAATATTAATACTGACTGACTCATATATGACTAATAAACAAGATTGTGTAAGTTTTATTATGGACAGTAGTTTTTTTTTTGCTTATTAGGCTGTGAACACATTTACGGGTCAGTCCCGGCACTGGCCCTCTCTACCGGTGACGCTGTAACAGCCGCAGGGCTAACAGCATATTCATTACAAAAAAAAAAAAAAAAAGCTGTGAACACATGACACGTTACTCTTAAATTAATTTCATGTTTTAGTTTTGTGTACTATACTTAATTTTTCATACATACAATGTCATAGTATTGCAAATACTGAAATAGATTTATGTATGAAAAATATTTGTATGTCAGTTTTAATATTGAGAACATATGATATATCTAAAAATATTTAGATCTCCCAAAAATATTTTTTATAAATATCAAGCTTATTCTTACGTATTTTATATTGAAAAAAGTTTAAATATAATATTGACGTGTCTAGTAGATTGTTAGTGTTGAATTCTATTTACATTTTTCATCTTGGATGTTATGATTTTATATATTTCGTGCTATGATCTCATACATCGGCTTATCTTTTAAGCTGAGGATACATCAATACGATTTGTATACAACCTTATATGTATGCGATAAGGTTTAAACTCGCGTGCACCAGCATCACTGTAATGATGTAACACTTGGTTTAGTAAACAAGTCATTAATTAGTTTACAAATATTTTATTTTATAAAAATTCATCATACTATCGTTTAGTAGATATTGATGTGACATACATACATACAAAACCATTCCAACATGTTTGGAGATTTCCAACGTTCGTCCTAAAATGAGTATCGAATTAATTTTAATTATTTGCACGTAATATTTTCTTTGATGACACTGCTGATAGTGAAGTACAAAGTTATTAAATGTCAGATTAGATACGAAACATAACATTGCTCGACTTAAAGGCCATGCAAATATACATTACTAGCTTTCCGCCCGCAACTTCGCCCGCGTGGAGTTCGGTTATATCGCGTTTCCAAGAGAACCTTTCAAATGTCTTCGATAAAAACTATCCTATGTTTTTTCTCAAAGTCAACTCTATCTCTGTACCAAATTTCATTAAAATCAGATCAGAGGTTAAGGCGTGAAAGCGTAACAGACAGACAGACAGACAGAGTTACTTTCGTATTTATAATATTAGTAGGGATTTACGTAAATATATTCGAAATAAATCTTTTTTTTCCGCTAATAATATATATGGAAAATCGCGTATTAGTTTTTATTTATATGGTAAATATTAGAATTTAACTCCTGTGATTCCAAAGTAAAGAAAATGCAATATTAAAAATTATGGCAAAATATAAATAATGATTTGAATTCAAATTATTGAAAGTAATATTTGTTACGCCTACATCTGGAACTCTGCCAGTTATGAGATGACTCAGTCTTGTATTGATCGATATTACATTGTGCGAGGACGTTATACGCCTATATATATAAATATATACTTACATATACTTACATATACATACATATATATATATACATATATATATGTAGATCATGATTTCTTAAGTAACGGATGCGTAACTTTTAATAATGACATTATGTATTCGAATAAATCACAGCGTTAGTGCCAACGAAACAAGATAAATTATGTAAACAATTATCAAACGTTTATAAACATTCGTAACAAATCCTCACCTCAATGAATAAATTACGACTTATTTCACATATATTAAAGAGATTTTTAAATAAATACGTAAAATTAAATGCTATGTTGTTAAAATTTATATTGTTTCGTTGGACGTACTTTAACAATGACAATGTTGGCTGGTAGAGTTGTCTCGATAACAGAACAATAGCTCTATGCTATTGGATTGTGGTTCACGCATTGATTTCGCGACCAATTTACTTAGAAACCTAATTATATTGACATGTATTAAATACCAAATTATAATTATAGTTTTGTTATATCAGATTCTACGACGAGTGCAAGCGGAGGTATAATATCAAGTTATGGAAAACATTCACAGACTGTTTCAACTGTCTTCCTGTTGCCGCTATAGGTGAGTTTTATAATTATTATGATATCATTAATGATACATATCATTAATGATATTGTTTTTAGCAACAAATGTTTATAATCGTCGATAAAGCTTACCCGTTCATATTTATCCCACGACTGATTAAGCGCTCATCAAAGCGTTAACACATTGAACATTATGTATACGATTTGAATAATGATTAAAGACATTAATTATCGATGCTCTTTGCCGTATAATAAATTTAGGTTTTGTTAGAAATTTGATGTAAATTGATACATTTCTACAGGCTAAACACTGTATAATGAGTGTCGAAGGCTTTGGTTCAGCCTTTTAAGAGATTTTCATTAGTTTGGTAACTATTTCTGATTTAAATGTACCGTCAAATAAATTTCTCATAAGATAACTTTCATTAAAGAAACGTGTTAAAGATCAAAAGCTCGTTTCAGAGGTCATATAGAAATGAGAAGTTCTATAGCTCAGTATAAATTTTTAATTATATACAAACTCGTAAAGACATCACGTTAAAACGAAAAATGTGTATAATTTTTTTATGAAATTTCTTTAACCAAAACATTTCTAAGAAGGATCGATATCCAAACAATTTGGATTCATATAAAATTTTGATCTGAACTAAGAAACACATTGATAGTTTTCTTCATATATATTGAACATCAATAGATAGATATATCTATACATCTATAATAGTTATAGATATAGATGAGGAAGTTTAAAAACTATAATAGTGTATTTTGTCGTAACAACGCCATTAAAAATATTGACACGTGCCAGGAAATTAGTCAGCTTATACCACTGTTTATAAATAGGACGTAATTACATGTTTTTAACCGATTTCGAAAAGGAAGTGTTAGGATTTTATTTGATTTTTTTAGTTATTTGTATCTCAAAAAAAAATGTTGTATATTTTATACTAACTAAACCCTGGAAATTATTATTATAGAACGTATCATTATAGATTTTTGAAATTCCTATATTTAGATTGTAGAGTTTCATTCGAATCGGCTTTGCAATTCCTGAAAATAAGCAATTTCGAAAAGTAACAAGTCGTACACACTTTTCATATTTATAAAATATTTTTCCCGTTGACTAGTATCCATTATAGTTTCAACATAAAATATATAAATAAAGTAAATTAGCTTGCATTGGGAAATAAACAAAGAATTATAAAGAAGGAAGACCTATAAGGTATTTCGTTTGAAAAACGTGATTTTTCTATCGTAGGCATGCACAAGTGAGATTTATTTCGTATAAAAATGCAAACGTGTATTAAATTATATGAAAATAAAAATATAATTGTAGTTATTTTATTCAAGGAATAAAAATATAGTTGTTTTATCCATGTATTTTATTGAAGAGTATCTGATTACCAACTCTTAACTAAATTTGTCGTGTTTACGAAGAATACGCCGCCAACCTCATTTAGTTTAAAAATCGACCTTTGATATATTTTCATTTATACATAAAAAAATATTAAGATTAAAAATATAGTACGTGAAGTCCCTCCACGCAGAAGAAGTGAGGCTTTCTTATGTCGAAATGAAAATAGGAAGAGGTAGAAATTTATTTTAAGTAAGACAAACTTTATAAACATTGCTTATAAATTATAATTATCATTGACCCCACCCATTTACTCTCGCTCCGTCTCTTTCTATTCCCTCTCTCCAGGACCGTTGAACGTTTAACGCAACCATGTTGAAAGTCGCATTAGAAGTTTCACGTCTATACATAAAAAATGACATATAAATAGCAATATGCCTTTAAAAAATATTACGTTTTTATATGTGAAATATTCGTAACTGTATTTCTTGTTATATAGATCAAGGATTTATAAATACTAGGCGTGTATCAAGATCGTTGAAGTGAAATACTTAAATCTTTCCTACAGTTGGTTAGTTTGGCTGAGTTCCAGCGAGAATTGTTTACATAACAGGTGATGACGTCATTTTCATGTTATGTACCAAACTAGAGGTTTATATACATTTACCTAAACACGAGCAGTTTAATACTGTGGCTTATAACGAGTTTGTATCGTGTAAAGTCATACGTACAGTGTGGAAGTAATTCATTAATAACTTTACGATCTCAACTATAGTATCAATGAATAGTTTGAAAACTATGTTTGGTACGAAGATTTATGTATCTTCAACTTACTATACACCAAAGTTCTTGGGCTGTCGTATCATTAATTATCGTAATTTGAAACTAATTGTTATATTTTTCAAGCAATTCCTACACACATATAATAATTAGTCTCTGTTTGATATTTGAACCGCAATTGTAGCTATGTCTCATATAATATTTAAATAATGCTTTCAATTCTTAGGCAATATCATTTTATTTAAGATACCTCCATAAAGTCCTACTGATGATAAAAGCATTTTCATACGATACTCACATACTATGCATTTAGTATGGTTTAACTATGAAACTTAATTTTATATACAGGGTGACTGGTGAATTACTATCAATATTTAAGGAGCATACTTGGTACATGATTCTCATTCGAATTATGTAAAAAAAATAGGTACTTAATTTTTGACCAAATTTCCGTATAAATAAATAAAGTGTGGACTCGTTCCAAGTGTTGCAAGTGTGGACGCGTGCGGCGGCGTGCTGATACAACACCACGCCCCTGCGCGCGCGTGTGTGTGTATGTGTGTATACCTAATCTGTAGAGTGTTCACACGATGCGTAATTAATTACATAACTTTTGGTTAACTTTACTTAGAAGTTTATTAATATTTATGTTATATTAATTTTTATTTTGTCATATATGATCGTCAAATATCACGTCCTCAAATATCGATAGTAATTCACCAGTCACCCTGTATATTAAAAATAGTGGTGCAAATCAACAGATTTTTCATAGAATTGAAGACAATATGTTGAATGTAAAATCCATATAATACAATACTGAATGGATCTAATTTCTACAACCACACGTCTCTGTTCATGATAGTTCAAGGTTCCCACTTCGTACACCAGACGTTCTATTCCTGTACACACAGACGGTGTAATTAAAGTTTCAATGACTTTTGCTATATATATAATATTTTTAACCTTAGTTTTTGTATATTAAATCAAAACAAAATTCATCATTTAGTTATACTTATTAATAGTCATCAGCCTATCAGAGCCCACTGCTTTGCCATTTCCTCTTTCTCACATGGAGAAGATTTGAGCATTAATCACCACGCTTGCTCAAGACGGGTTGGCGATTTCAAACTTATAATTGTGAAACTATAAGTCCAGGTTTCCTCACGATGTTTTTCTTCACCGTATGTCAGTGATGTCTAAATACTATTATTCATATTAAAGAATATCAATTAATAAATGACGTAAACGCTTGAAGTTTTATAAGAAAAAATATTGAAAAGTATCGCTCCATTTCATAATGTCACAATGACAGTGACAGGCCCTCAAACTGTCAAATTAACCACGACGTAACTGTCAGGAGGTTTGAATGTTTTTTTAATTATAATATTAGCGACGGACCATCTTCATTATGCCAGGTGCATAATTAAGTTAAATTTAATAATTCTTTACCCGTATCTAATTTGAAGATAATTTCAAATATGACGTTGTAGTTATATTAGCATCTAAAATCTCTAAAGAGACAGCACAATATAAAAGGAAGTGTATAGTTCTTGAAACAATGGAAAATTTTATAGGCGTATGAAATCGTTTTTATCGGTAATTAGACGTTGATAAAATTCATTGTAGAGAAAAATATATAGTAATAAATATTAAAACCAATTATATATACAAGTGCAACTAAAATATTATACATGTATGTACTTTTGTTACACATTCTAAAACCAAGATCTTTATATAATATTCAATATTTATAAATGACTAATATTTAAAGAATCTCAGCGACCCGAATGACGTGTGTGCTTCATAATAAGAGGAAAGTGATAAATATAATTTATTGATTAAAATTTTTTCACAAATACATCTGGCGTTGGGGTCATTGTACTTTGTAACAATGAAGACTACTGAGATGGATTGTATGTGTTTCATATGTATATGTATGTATAATAAAAGAGAAATGACACATAATATGAATTATATATAACGTTTTTATATAGGTATATATATATTGGTATTTCTTTCGGCCTAGATTCCTCATTCTTGTTCTTTTTAGAAAAGCTTCATTTAGAAATAAAATGCTATCATCGTAGACGAACTCGTGGGAGTGTTATATCTTTAAGCGTGTCATATTTACTATATGCTTTTGTATATATAGATAGTATAGAAATAAATAGAATTGTATATATAGATAGTATAAAACATGAATAATCATAAAAAAGACGAACGCAATCGCAGGCACAGCTAGTATAATGTTATATATAACTCCACTTGTTTTGTTTTATACGGCTGGTAATACGATCGACATCTGATTACATACGCTTACACATTTACCATTGTATCAAGACACACTTCCCCTTTGTATGTTCTCACTGAACAGCTTCCGAAGGTTGAATAATACTAGTAGTTCAACCACTGAACATATGATATTGATTTGTGAAATACAGAATTTGAGATGGTATATGATCAGTACAAAAAGCCGCAAGAATTGTGCCGTGCAAAAAGCCACAAGACTTGTGCCCCCGAACTTTAAAATACTGTGTTTTGTAATAAAGACGCAATACAATACTTTCTATGACCGAATGTAGGATTTAATATTCATTAAAGTTTTTTTTTGTCATAGCTACTTTAATGTTGCGAATTTCTACTGTGTATGGAAGCGGGCTCTCAAGAGTTACGTAAACGCGACCATTGTATGCGTAATAAAGAAAAGTGGGTCACAGCCGTTACGTGTGAAGTCGGCGTCACACGTGCAACCCACAACCCCCTAGCTTTTTTAGGGGTTAGGGGTTTTTTTGGTGTGACAAAAACGACTAATTTTTATGTCTTGTCGCCTACATTTCATGGGAATTTCTCGAGAGATTTTGTTATATGAGAACGCTTTAGATGGCATGTTTTGCAACGCCTAATTTAATAATCAGTTTTTCTGCCACATGAAGGTTTTGTAAATATCCGTTTTGCGAAAATCTCCACATAAATCTAGAACAAATATTAGTCACCTTGATATTCGGGTATTTTTGTTTTCTAGTGTTATTTGCTACTTGTGATAAGAGGATCTTGAGATAGCCAACTCTTTCCTTGACTTCCGTACGATAAGAAAATATTATCATAACTTTCACACATCTCTAGCGCTTTAACGGCGCTTTTTTGCGCTTCATTTGTAGTTACCAACTAGGGCATTTATGATGTAAGCGATCGGAAATAGAGGTGACTTCCTCACTCATGAGAATTGTCAGCGATTGACGCTGCATGGATGTAAAGACGCGTGTTTAATTCGTGTTTCCTCAGATAAACTGGAACTCTAAGAATATCTACCGCTTATATACACTAAGTTAATAACATAATTCTTTGAGTTATATATTATGTATATAACTTGCTAGTCATTATAAATATATTTTTCAATCAATATAGCGAAGGATATTCCAGATATGCCCGTCTTTGGGGAAAAATATTTGGTTTAAGTTACTAGTTTTGAGGGCTTATTGTTTCTTTGAATTAGAAAAAATTAATGATTACTCGTATGGGTTTAGTCTCTAAAATAATAAATTATATATACTGTATTGATTCCTTTCTGCTAAATAAATATAAATATACCTACATTTTTCTTTAAAACATCAATTTTGTGTCAACTTATCGGACAGAATTTTGTCTCCCGATAATAATCAGGCATTTTTTAAAATTGTAATATGTACTTACATTTGATTCGTATTAAGAATATAAAGGTGCGTTTTTATTAGCGAGAATATATCATTTATTTAGTATGTAACTAATTAATAAGAATATTTTCTATTTAATGTGAACGTGGTCATATTTTTATTTTTCAATGTCGTGTCGTGTTATCATTGAGGCATCTTATCTGTGGTGATGGATTTGAATGATCTTTGCATTGCTATCTGAATTTTTTGTATGTCTTTGGACTTGTTGTTCTCTTATAAAGTTTATTGACATTGATGTTAACAAATGATTTCATCTGGTTTTACTCGCGTATTTTTGTTTTATATAATACTTAAGCATCTCTATTATATGAAACAATTATAATGAATATAATAAAAACTATTAATTCAAATTGCAAATATATATTTAAGGAAATTGGATACGAATTTATCATTATGTTGTCTTGGTTTTTTCTTTTCATGACAAACTTTTATTTTCCTCATATCTTTTCTAAAGCATTTAAAAACTAATATTATTTAAAAAATAACGAAGAATAAAACGTAATATTCGACATATATTCTATAGTATAGTGTCTAGAGAACATGATGCGTCTATGTTGCAACAAGAACATTCTAGAATAGCATAATATCAAATGGCATTTGTGGTATGATATCTTTAGGTTATCAACTCTGGCGCCTCTAGTTGACCGTGATGGGTTCAAATGTTTGCAATGACACGTGATCTAGCCATGTTATATTCTAAGTCCTGGAAACATGACTCGTACCCACTCTTTGATCAGCTGGGGACCTTTCCATACTTTAGATTGACGATTGTTAAAACTTAGTTCTGAGAGTTAAAGAATCCATCCATATTTCAAAGGCTTATTTTTATTTTATTTTATTTGGATAACCAACAAAAGAAAACTATTAACAATAACTTAAGTCCTTTTAATTATAGGCTATCACATCATGCAAAGTATAATAATTGTAGTATATCAATTTAAGCTTAGAGATAGTATTTGAGGAAAATAGGATTAATGAATCATTAGTACATAAAAAATTTAAATGCTTTATTGCTATTTGTTTCCTTCTCAGTTGACGAGAAGATCTTCTGCTGTCACGGCGGTCTATCTCCGGATCTTCAAGCTATGGAGCAGATAAGGCGGATCATGCGCCCGACTGACGTTCCCGACCAGGGGCTGCTGTGTGATCTACTGTGGTCGGACCCAGACAAGGACACGGCCGGCTGGGGGGAGAACGACCGTGGGGTCAGCTTCACTTTTGGGACAGAGGTACGAACTACAAGGACCTTTATATGAATTCTTTGCCAGGACCGGCCAGTCGCCGGTGTGCCCTGTCGCTGACAGATCCGGGGTACACCGACAAAGCGGCCGATGGCTTTCGCAGTGGTTTTAGTGAGTAGGGGCCTGCCCAGGCCGAGCCTCACACATCCTTCCCGGCCCCACCAAGGCCGGTTGGACGGCTCGTAAAAAGAGTTTCCCTGCGACATCAAAAAAAAAGGGCCTTTATATGAATAGTCAGGTATATATATACAGGACTAGCTTACCGCTCGCAGCTTCGTCCGGATGGAGTTCGGTTATATAGCGTTTCTAAAAGAACTCCTCAAAAGTCTGGCATAAAAACTATCCTATGTTTTTTCTCAAGGTCGACTCTATATCTGTACCAAATTTTATTAAAATCAGTTCAGTGGTTTAGGCGTGAAAGCGTAACAGACAGACAGCCAGACAGAGTTGCTTTCGCATTTATAATATTAGTAGGGATTGTCAGATATTACTCTGCGTACAATATTGCTACAGATTTTTTTTTGACAAAGCCTTGTATATCGTTGAATAGATGGTAAACTAGATTCGAGATTGTGAGAAATAAAATTATCTATATAAAGTTGCTAATGAATTTCTTCTTTAAAGTCTAAAACCTTCAATAGATCGTAATCTATATTCGGGTCTGGCGGAAATTATTTTGTGTATAATGTTGCTACTGAATTTTTTTATTTTCGTAAATGTAGAAGGATGTTTGATAAAATTAATATTGTATATGCGATATAACGACCTTTGTATGGGCAAAGTCTCGCATACAGTTCAGTAGGTGATAAAATATATTCGAGATTGTTAGGAATTGCTTTGTGTATAATGTTGCTACTGATTTTTTTTCCTAAATGTAGATGGATGTTTGATAAAAAATATATATTGTATATCTATGTAAGTGATTTACATGAGCACAGTATTTTAATGTTTTTATTTAGAATCGATCGGTTTTCCTTGTATCGTATGAAAGTTAAATTATTTTATATATCCCTCCATATTATGTAATGTATTCATTTATGAATATTATAAGAATTAATACTAATTTTTCCTTAAATAATCATCACATTATGTTTAACATTATAATACCTTATTTATGTAAATACAACAAATAAAGTGCTCGTGCTATCAATTCGATTAGATATCGTTATCGACTAGAGTCTACATAATCATTTATCACAACAGAAAAACCTAATATTATTGAGTCACGAAAAGTTTTACATTTTTGTCCACTTCTTTGTCTCCTAAAATTATCGATATCTAGAAAACGGTTTGATTCATTACTATCGGTATTCCAATATGTTGGAAAACTTTAGTGATTTATGCTTAGGATTGACTAAGATTAGTAGCAGCTTAATAGTAACGGTTTAAATGCGAATTTAGTCATCATATAAAAACCTACATATATTCTAAAATGACTACTTTCGATATGACATCGACAAATATAACTCGACTTTCTCACAATATGGTTAATAAAACATACTTAAAATATACATTTAAATGCTATTTCGCAAATAACTCTTCCAGTTAGTAAATTGTTTGACCGTTTGTAAAAATCACTGGACTGATTTAAAATACACTTAATGTAATCGTCTTGTATCATAGTTTAGAATGAAAGGACATCATTTCCTTGAATTCACACTCAAATCAATTTTATAAAATTGCAATTAGATTTTGCGACCAGTTAATATGATATAATTACATATGTTTACTAACATTTATTCCATTCGCAAAAACTATATGCCGAATCTTCTCAGCTTTTTGTCTTTTCACTTAGGCAGCAATTTGACGATCTAATCTTCTATCTAATCGAAATTTCAATAATATAACTTAATTTATGTTTATTTATTACAGATTGTTGGCAAATTTTTGTCCAAGCACGAGTTTGATCTGATCTGCCGAGCCCACCAGGTTGTTGAAGATGGTTACGAGTTCTTCGCTAAACGGCAGCTGGTCACTCTGTTCTCAGCGCCGAATTACTGCGGCGAGTTTGACAACGCCGGTAATAATTATCATCTAATAATAATATATTAGTAGGTTCGTGTCAAATTTGGTTAGGTAGATAGAGGAGCTTGGACAGTGGAGGTGAGCGTATAACACGCGTTAGATAGGGACTTAAACCTACACCTGGGTCGCAAGTCCCTATCACTGTTGAAGCTCCTCTCACTACAACGATGGACCCGACACACTCACCGTGAATACATTGAATAATGAGAGGTTTCTTAAGAATTCTGAGTATTGATCCTTATTGTTGTTTAACCGAAAACTGCTAAATGGATTATCGTGAAACTCTATATGGGTAGAGCTTTAGCGTCGGGATGAAATATAGTTCTTTAATTTTTATCACTACGAAGTATGTAATATGCTTACATACATGTATACTATTAATATATCTGTGCTATATTAAAAAGTGTAAAGTACACCAACGGGAAATGCCGATAATTCACGTTAAACCATTGTCGCATCATAACCAGTGTATGTATATTGTATATATATATATTATATATATAGTGTAATATGATTTTAATATATTCCAGGTGCCCTAATGTCTGTGGACGAGACACTAATGTGCTCGTTCCAGATCTTAAAGCCGGCTGACAAGCGCAAGTTGTATTCGGGCCTTAACGTGGGTCGTCCGAACACACCGCCTCGGGCCCAGCCTAAGAACAAGAAGAAGTGAGTATGTATGTACGTTACGATAACACGTTCCGAAATATATACTCACCGTTACAGAAGAATTGATTGAGAAATAATCACCAACTACCCCCAAAAATGTGTTACGAAAAAGTTAATTGCATGATCAATGTTTAACGTTTATGTCAATTGTATTTTATGTAATGTTTTTATAATTGATTATATTGTGATGAAAATTGGAATACGTTAGATTGCGTTGATTCATATTGTTTGTTATGATGGCATGTCATACTTATTATACTTGTATACAATATCTATGTATATCCGGGTACGAGTTGTTAATTTTGTTAATATGTACATCCGTCCCGCAGTTAATGCCCCGGCAGTCATCGCAACGAAGTCTACGACTTGCACGGATTCCCACGATCATTTTTGTTTTCTTTATAATAAAATAATAATTATTATTATTACTAAGGCTAAAACGGTGGCTTACGAAGTATTTCGTATTATTGTATTCGGTTTTTTTTTTGTAATTTCTTATCCGTACGTTCAGTATGTACTTCCGCTGTCACTTCCAAAGCTGTCAATCGAACTCCTTTTATAAATGAACTACTAGTCTGTATGATTTTATATTTAATTCTTTAATCAAACGATTCTGTCACGTGCGCTCTCTGACACATCAATAGCTTTTGCCGTCTTAAAGTTCATTCTGGCTGGTAAGATCATCAATTGCTGGACAATTGTGTTCAGTAGACATGGGCGCGGTTGGCTTTATAGCGAAAACCTTTGCCTGCATCTTACTTAATAAATACTTCCGTCACTGTCAAAGTCGTAGGATTGGAAGGAGTAGTCGCGCGAGATGTTTGGTATATTTTTTAAATTTGGAACGTTTTCATAATAAGCCTAGGCTGCCAGTGTAACAGGTTTAATGTGGGGAGTCCAAGTAGGAGCGTTGTTTGTGAATGATTTGGTATGTATGCTACTGTGTACGTTTCGTATGTTTGTCCGTATGTCCGCATAAGCTTGTGTCGTACTCCATAATCAATAATACTGTTAGCAGCTGTGAGGTTTTGGTGCGATTTGAGATTAATAATACTGCCATTTAGTAAGGGATAGATGTGTTAAGTTTGTCACAAATTGACGTGGTTTAAGAAAAAACTGTATAACACACGCAGACACGTTGACATAAATATTGAATAATATTTAATAAAGTTGTTCATTTGACGAACACCATTTCCATTAAAGTATAGTACAATCATCAAGAGGTGGATCTCAGGTGCACCAAAGTCGCACAGCTGATTTGTATTAACGGCATTGAGAAAATGTAATAATATTACTAAGGTAATTAAACATTTATAATTAATTAAGTAGTAAGCGTTATCGTGAACAGCCTATGTCCTCATTTGCGTTAGTGATTGCGAGTAGTGCGCTTTGTCATTGACCCGCCCCCCGCGTTCCATATTCAAAACATTCTACACGGGCCATGGGAAATTAAATTTAAAAATGGAACACCTCAGAGTCAATTCTGTTAAGGAATGTCAGTTTTAGTATGTTTATACCGTACTGGTTTTTAAAAAAGGAACACTTCAAATATCATTGTATGCTACAATAGGTACATAAAAAAGATCGTCTCCTTTTTTATGAAGAGAGCGTTTAACTTAATTGGTCCGTGTATTAAAATCCACCGATAGTGTTACCAGAATTGAAAAAAAACGCGGGGGCGCTGTAAAATTATCATTATTTATTTCGCAATGAATCAGACTGAACTGCGTACAGTGGCCGCCGGCCGACTTAATCAATGAATTATTGATGTATGTACAAGAGAATTGTATATTAATTTCATAAATAAAAAACTTTCAGAAAATTTATTGATTTTTATTTGATATCCTCAATTTATATAATTATTTTTCATTAACATTCACCAGGAGTGTGTAATATGAGAACGATGTTTTCAATATCTGGAACAGAGTACAAAATGTTTTGAGAAATTTAAAAGGCATCAAGACAGTCAAATATAAAACCTTATAAGTTTATTTTATAGTATACTCTATACTACAAAGCTTTTATATAATTTTACCTTGAGGAATGTGTGCAAGTCCATAGGGAGGAAGTTTCCCGCGCGCACTACCTCGCTGCGATGATGTGACAACAACACGTTCAACAACAGACAGCGGCCACGCTTACCACAACAGTACCAGCCGCTGTGGTACGCCGAGCTACTGACGCGATCCGACTGTCAATGTCAAAGTCATTATGACAGCTGTCAACCACAGATAATACAAATGACACAGAATACAAACTGTTATATTATGAACATACATACCTGTAATGTAATCTGATTCCCGAAATAGCAGTAAATGAACATATCTAATACTACCGCTGCCAAGTACTCTACAGTGACCATGTCGAATTTCTGAAAATGATACATTATTATATATAAACAAATACAATATTAAGAGAAAATTAATCGCATTTTTTTTTAAATCTGTTACAAAATCTTATACATAATTAGAAGTGAATAATCAAAAACTGAGTCATAATTCTGATATAGTTATTAGTTATATTAAATCATGGCAACATCACCTCAGAAGTGGTGTATAATAAAGTGCAGAGGTACAGAGTAACTTGAACTACGCGCAGTACTAGCAACGGAGAAACGAAAGATTCAAAACGATCCTTATACAATTTGATAACTCTGGCTACAGCTGCGCATTCACGAAGCGCAGAACAAGTGGCCTCTTCATACTCGCTACTATAAATATCTGAGTAAAATAAAATATAATTCATTTAGAAACACATAGTAAAGTCTTAACAAAAAATGTTCAGGTTACAATCATTTTTAATCCTACGTAATGGCTTACCAAATTGATTTGTCGTCTTAAACTTTATGTTCTGTAACAAACATCAAAATTATTACGATTTTTTAAGATAAATAAAGTAGTTTCCATTAGTGCTTATGTATCTTATGTGATAAAAACTCACGACTTTCTCGTCATAATGGTAATGACTCTCAACCATTTCTGATTTATTGTATAAATAGTTATGTCTCTCTTCCTGCTCTATGCCACAGTATTGTTTCACGAGGGTGCCATGTTGGACTCCTTTTAACAAAAGCGCGGTAAAACGAACGTTTCGCAGCGAACAACATAACAGATCGATCTGACCACATAACAATATAGAATGGCATGCGAAAAACACTCCTATAATTTAAAAAACATGTATTGAGATTACTGTATTTTCATTAGAATTAAACTATTTAATAAACATACCTAATTGACCAATTGCAAGTCCAACAAAGGCCTGGGACATACATTGACGGAGAAGAATTAAAACCAAGCTGAAATTGTTGGTTGCGTCCATATAAATCCAATGCTCCAGAGGCTTTCCGAATAACACTGATAATATAAAAGATTCATATTTTATTAAATTAAAGTATATATAGAATAGTAATAGAGTCTAAAAATAAAAATTAAATTATATTTACTAACGATAAGCAATCACTGGCAACAAAGCGTATGTGGCAACACTGAAAAGTGTACAAGCCGTATACAGATAAGCAAATGTTTTCGCGGTCTTATAACTCTGCGACATTGTCATATTAGTTAAGCCGTGAGCTGAATGCCATTTGAACATCGTGTTCATATAATTAACCAGATCATATAACTCTGTTTTGTGAGTAGCGAAGTAAGCTACGATGAATAAAGCAACAATAACTGGTAGTCCATCTGCCATGCTATCAAGACTTGACATTACATCCGTCCAATCAGTATATAAATGCACCGTCAAACTAATCGACATATTTGCCAAAGAAAACAGTACGAGAGCCAAATAAAGGTTATTTATGATTATCTGACGTGTTCTTTCCGGTTTTTTATACCAATCCCAGCAAGCTACACCCTTTAGAGACAGCTCAATGAAATGAGTATAGTTATTTACTACTTTCATCTTTAAGATTTAATGCCACGAAATATTTGATAGTCACTGAAATTGTCAAGAAACGGTTAAGAGACTTGTTTGAAATTTAAAAGAAACGTTATTTATTATTGTCATTATGATAAAAGAATAAATAGTTGACTTTGAAAATACCGGTAGGAAGTTTTTTTAGCGATGGGGAGGGACGACAGTAACCTAATTTTAGTTTGCAATAGAGACGATATCAATTTTGATGATTATTTCTGAAAATAATAATAAACACGATATCGTTTTCAGGCCTCAACATTTTATAGCATTGTGAGAAATTTATAGGATAAGATTTAATACATTTAATGGAAACCTAAATTGGTAAAACTAATAACAGGAAAATTTAACATGTAAGAGTTAATTTCCATATACAGAAACATTATTGCATTAATTTATTTATTATGTTAATCTGTATGTTAACATAACATACATATTTACAATGTAACTTTAAACTATTTTTGAAGTGCCAAAGCCCACAATTATATTACTTTAATAAAAAAAAACGTTGAAGCACTTTAAAATTAAAAATAAATATACTTAATCTAATACGCCGAATTTTTAATGTAAATTATTTAAATTATTGTAAAATGTTAACAATAAGGCGTTTTTGTTTTTAGACGTTAATCGTGACTTTTATATATAGATCCTTTTTAATTTCTGACAATGTCATGCTAAGTAAACCACTCTAATAAAAAGGATTTAAATTCTTACGACCACCAAAAATTTCGCCACAATTCTTACGTTTTCACTTTCCTATTTCCTAAGAGCAAATGAATCTACCATGCAAAGACACGCTTTTATATTAGATGTTCTTTAAGTTGTTAATTGGTTCACATTGCGAAGTGATTTTGTTAACGGCAGTTAACACACCGTATAAAATAACTCGTAAGAAACTGTAAAATAGAAATCCATTTAAAGGATATTAAACTTATTTGATTTTTTTTACCTATTTATATAAAATTTAGAATCAAGTGAAATATTAAAATAAAGTTTAAGCAGAGTATAATTTGACAAGATTTTATGTGAACGAAGCTTTATAACTTGACGGAATATTTAACTCTTTCTAGTTAGGAACTTTATATTTAAGTTGACTGTAATTACAAAACTTTTAATTGCCGCCAAGTCGTTTTAACGTTTTTGATTTAATTAGTTAGACTTTCAAAAGGTTTTCAGTACTTGTTTAAATTAACAATATCATTTTTATCATAATTTATTCAAACACATGACAAAAAAAAAATAATTCAACCGTTTTCAAGCCGTTTGCATTGATTCTGCATCCCTGAAAAAAAACAAATAACATTATTTCAATCTGAATTCATTGCGTCTAAACTTAAAAATATATATCTTCACTTAATACATATAAATGTTTATAAGGACTACGTTGTTCATTAATGTGTATTAATGCATATACTAGACATTATAACCATATATGTATGTATATATCTCACTTCTCCTTAGATCGTCTCTGAGCGATGCGGTATATACGTCTCAGTTCCAGCAGAGCTCTCATCACTACCACCAGTTGTTGCTCGTAATCTTCCACAGAAACGTCAACTTCTAGACCTTTCTGCTTACAAATCTTCAAGTACAAACTCCACACTGCTGCTCGTACGTGGCACAATTCCACATGACGTCTGGCAGCCGTTTCCTTAAGACGTTCCAACGCCAACTCCCATTTGATGACACGATTTCTTGCTTTGTCAAAACGCCACTAATGATAAAAGTGCACTGAGGATCATTCATGAATGAGTAGTTGTTGAAAAGTACATGTACTTTTCAACATTTTATCGCTTTAGTGTTGGTCCAAAAAAAATCAGTTCTATATCCGAATATAAAGGCCCATTAAAGATGTATAGGTTTTCGGACAAAGTGCAAGAAAAATTGGATCACCAATTACAACGAATATATTAAATTTAAAATAACATATTTCCAGGTACTTTTAATCATACTTATTATCTATTAATAGAGATAAGAGACTAGTTCTCAATTCGTAGTATATTAAAATCTAACCCTCAAATCAGCGAGTGTGTTATTAAGGCCCATTATGCAAAGCTTCTTTTCTTCAGTAAGAGTTGCGATCTGTCTTCTAGCGCTCTCCAACAACTCCAAGTCTCTTTCCTGTCTCTCCGCGAGGGAACTCTTCGCCGCAGCTGCAAATAACAATGTTTAGACATACTTTCTTGTTTGGTAATGAGATACATTGCTTATATCAACAATCTAACACTAAAACATCTAATTTTCTTGTCTAATCTTGTTTGGGTATTTTTTTATAATTACGTTTTAGCCTCTTCTGTTTGTAATTAAAAAATAGGATATATACACTATTGTTTAGATTTAATATATTTTCAAGAGGAATTAAATAACTTTACCATAAGATCATGATCTATTGCTCATACTCTAGCTCATTGCTCATGATCTAACGACATACATCCCGAATTAGACGATAAAAAATATCTAAAGGTTGTTTAAGATGTAGTATGTTGTGTAATAGTGTATTGTTTAATAATCACCCAAGGCCTCATAACGGTTGAGGACATCTAGTGGCTGTTTGAATTCTGGGTAGTTATGTACGACGGACATCAAATAGTCCTGAAATAAATTGACAATTAATATATATTACCACCTGGAAATTGTATTTGAGGCTGACATAATGATTGTATATTTAAGTTGGAAAAGGTGTTGAAGGATAACTTTGTTCCTATAACTGGAGAGTGAATTGACTGCGGCAGGACCGTGCACAGAGATTTTGGGTAGGGCAAGCAGAATGTTTGAAAAAAATACAAATTTTCATCAGAACATCTTCCTCTAAAACATTAATATTCGCGCATAAAGTTACAGCAGTTCGATCAGAAGGAACTACATATTTTATAACTCTATCAACTACCTCTGAGCCACGAAACGTTCGTCACCGCTTTAAATGGGAATATCCAGTGGAGATTTGTACATTCTTATTATTATTATATAACAACAAACAAGGAAAACAACAGAATTTGTATCGTGTTATGTTATGATACCTCATATATAGTGTAGTCTCGCACTTGTTGTTCCATCAGCTCCTTAACTTCCTCCATCTCGGTCACTCTCTGTCTCATAGCGTCAGTCTCGCGCGTCTTTCGTTGAAGGACCTCCGTGTCAGCCTCCATTTTACGTTCAGCCCTATCGCGTTTCTCTTGATTCTCGCGAATGAACTGTCAAACAGCATTAAACCCGTTTATTTTGAACCGTATTTAATATATTAACAACTAGCTTTCAAAAGTCTGGGATAAAAGCTATCCTATATTCTTTCTCAAGGCCAACTCTATGTCTGTACCAAATTTCATTAAAATCAGTTCATTGGTTTAGGTGTGAAAGCGTGACAGACAGACAGACTGACAGAGTTACTTTCGCATTTATAATATTGGTAGGGATGTTTATGTTGAGATATGAGCCAACCATCTTATCTTATTGTTAAATCATAAATAAAATTTATAATATATTCACTTCTTTTTATTTCCATAATCCAGAATCACTTGAAAAATAATAATAATATACAAAACCTACCGAACCGAAAGGTTTTAATAATAAGGTAAATAATTTTGGAACATCTACAGTGACTTGGTGAATATATAATAAAAAATGTTTGAAGAGTGATTTCATGAAGAATATTGCAATTTGTAACTAACACCCAACATGAAAAAAAACGGTCATATTTGTCAAATCCCAATTTACGTTAAAATAAATTCTTATGCACAAATGTCATCTGGTCTGGTGTTAAGTAATTTTCACAAAAAATTACATCGAACTATCGTCTACTTTTTACGTGTTCAAAAATTGTTATGATACCTTCCTTATCTTTTCAACTTCTTTAAAAAAACTACTTTAATGATGATGCTTTCACTGTCTATGTAGACTTATAAAGATATAAGCATTAGAAAGCAGACTTTATATTTATGAGACTACCTTTAAATATTGCATTAGTTGTAACTAACTATCAATACGATTCAACACCTTATTAAAGCTTATAAAAGACTCCTTCAACAGCATTTCCTTGTCTCGTAACTCTTTCCATTTTTCATCCATCATTCTCCTGTTTTCTTTCTCCTCATTTCTTTTGAGTGCAAGTTTCTCATCTGCCTCCATGAGATCTCTTCGTGCTTGTTCCATCAATACTTGCGGTGTTGGACGAGCGACATCCCATACTGGATATTTTCTAAAGAAGACTGATTAAGCGTAGTCTTTTGGACAAATTTAAGTTGTAATTTTATAATGGTGACTTACTTTACCATACGAGAACTTTCCATTAAAGATTTATAGTATTCTGAAGTGGATTCCACTGGCGGCCCATGAGGGATAGCTATAGGCGCTAAATCTTTCATCACCTTCTTCATTGTGAATGTTAGGTATTTGTATAAATATTAAAAAGTCCCCAAAGTACGAATACTTAGGTTTGAAAAATAATATTTTTATAATTGATAAAACAAAATCGTAACTATGCGACGGTACGTCTATTATGTAGATAATAATTAATATTAAAAAGATTTTTATTTGAAGCTAATAGATATAAAAAAAAACTAACGGATATCGAAAAAAAATATCAAAAGATTAAAAGTGATGTTCAGCTAAATTAATGATAACAATTACATAATATTTTTAGTTTCTTTTCTAGGATTTTCATGGGTCGTTATTTGTTTTGACACCTACGCAATACAAATAGTTTTTTTATTAATCCTTTGAACATTTACTAATCAGTTATAAGAATGTCTAGACTCTAGAGTTTGGAACAAAAACATTTGGTTCAATAAATACAAATGTGGACATTAGCAAAATATTCCACAATTCCAGTTTGAATGACACCATAGCAACATTTAAAAAAAAAACCATCTGTAGTCTTTTCTGTCATATTGACTATTGTCACTCTAGATTTGTTTTAGGTTATGGAAGTGTAATATCCATAAAAGAATAATAAAATATAACTGTAAAAGACAGTGAATATTTATAATATATTTATTAAATCAAAGTAATCATTACGTTCAAGAAGAAAATGGAAATAAATCTTACATTCCTTTCTGGGTTAGGATGCGGTCTTTGCCTCGGTTTATCTCTTATTGCAATAAAAAAATACACAGGACTCTTCTCTGACACAGCAAAGTCTGTTAAAAAGGTAAAATCAATATTGTTTTATTAATCATAATGCCATGTTCATTTTATATAATAAATAGTTTATTTTAATTTCTCGCAGTTTGTATCCAACTCCGAATATAAGTTAGTATTGGTCGTTCGAACTGACCTGGGGATGGGAAAAGGCAAAATAGCAGCTCAATGTTGTCACGCGGCTGTTGGAGCCTTTGAGAAGGCAATCAAAAAGGATCCGGAGGGATTAAAGCATTGGCAGAGGACAGGACAAGCTAAAGTAGCTGTAAAAACAGATTCAGTGGACGAAATCAAACAAATTTTGGACAACGCCAAGAAAATGGGCATCATCACATCTTTAATAAGAGATGCTGGAAGGACACAGATTGCACCCAACTCTATTACAGTACTGGGTGTCGGTCCAGCACCCAAAGATGTAATTGATAAAGTTACCGGACATTTGAAGCTCCTGTAATAAACGAATTAGAAGTCATTCCATAGTTTCATTTATTGCCATAACTGCCTACCTAAAGTATGTAAAATTGTGCAAAAGCAGAATTCTGTGATTTTCTTAATGAAATACTCCTTCAAAGAAGTATGCAACTGATTAAACATTTGAATAATTAATTTTTTTGTAAGTATATACATTTCAAATACATTAAATCTGTAGAGTTATTATAAAGGATATATTTGGTTCACAAATTATCTCATATTTTACAGAAGCTAGTGACAAAGTCTCATTTATTCTTGATTTTTGGTTTTCATCTGTAGCATATAACATGTTTCATTACAGAGGCCTAAAACAAAAAGTTACTTCTTGTATAGTGCTTATATTAAAAACATCAAATGGAAAAAGATGTCAATTGTTATCAATGTTACGACAATTATAAAAAAAATGTCTTGCTTTCAACTTTATTGAGGACTATTCAATATTCTTTAAGACACACAAAAATGTATTGTAATTTTATATTAACAAAAGCAATAGTTGAAATTTAAGGTGTTTATATCTACTGTAATTTTGAAACTCGTATATAATAATTATAATATATTGCTTTGATGTATTGTAAGATTCTTTATTAAAACAAATTTGTATCCATATTATGTTTTGTAACACCGCTCTTGGTATCTTTGACTGAATTTCAATCTATTAAATACATTATTAATTTACTCTTGACTTGTATACTTACAATTGATAATTTAACGAGCCTTTTCAGTTTTTTTATTCTTATAAATATATACAATACAAGTGTTAACTACTTGCTTTGCTTGCTTCAACAGAATTGGTTTGAGAGGTTTTCTTAACAACTAATATAGAACTACCTTTGCTATAATGTTTAATTTTAATTAAGTCTTTATTCTATGTTATATCACACTCTCCACTCTTTGGGGATCTTTTGATTATGTAATCATTTGAATCGTCTCGTGACACTACAGCACTCCATTCGTATTTTTACCTGAAATACTCTAATTTTCATTTATTCTATAGTCAACAAGTATATTATTGTCAATTTCTGTTGACAGTGCTTTAAATCCAAAACAAATTACATTTTATAAGACTTGTTATCTCTTATTTAAAGATTAATTACTTTTTCCTGTGTATATATAAATGAGCTATGATTTGTGGCTCTCATTCTCTGGTTGACAACTTTATAAATTATTTTTCATTTATTTAATTAATAGATAAGAAAGTTATTATGTACATTTAATTTCTTTTGCAAATATATTTTGTTTTTATCACTTATATATATGTGTACAGTTTAAATTGTATGTGGGTTCTGTTGAATGATATATAAATTTCTGTAATTCCCATGCCTTAATCCATTTGTATAAATTTATGCATCATATTAAACACTGTTGTGTTTCTTAATACTTCTACCATCCTAAAGTTATTCAAGCATCAGTTTTAAATATAAATCAATATAATATTAATGATGGGTTATATATATTAGAGCTACTTAAATGCTCTGTAAGATAAGTAGTTTACTATAAAAATTATCCTTGAAGATTATATGTACTTACTTACATCAGAGATCGTTAACATATTTTATTTTATTTGGTTCATTTTAATAACTTACCTTTAAGAAATTTTATTATTTACATATATGTACTATAATTACAAAAACTTTGTCTTACATAACTCGATACACTTTAAATATACCGAATTACAACTCTATAACACAAAATAAAAATGTATTCATATATTTTTATTTATGAATTGATTTTGTATGAAGATTCAATAGAAGGATAGTTTACAGTTAACAAACTAACTGACTGAGTATAGAGTGTTGTGTTGACATCAGAACAGCACACGACTCAATACATTAGTGTGAGATGAGGTGAGAATGATGGAGGTACAGTCACCAACACAAGTGATACACTGACTATATACTAATGTTACTTAGTATTGGTGTTTGGTTACAACTTATGATGAATACATTGAAGGACGGAGTTTTATTATACACAATACATATATAAATATACATATCTAATTAATAAATCTCGATTATAAACATGAAGCAATTCAGCAGAATCTTGAGTCACCCATTCCGTTGTATTGTCCTGAAAGAATCTCAACAGAATATTCAATATATAAATATTATAATTAACAAAATTAAATTAAATACTCACCATTTTTATTGGTATCTATAAGAATCAACATAAAATCTGATGTATTTTTCAACCAAAAAAAATATGGGATAAAATTTTCCTTCAGAATGCTTATTCTATGTTTGCTTGCCACTACATATGTAGCGTTAACATTATTGAAATCATAAAACCTCGCACAGTACAGTACTAGGGTAGATTATTTAATTAGAAAATTTTCATATGTAACTTAGACCACTTTAGAATTAATAGGTTACCTGAATAGACTAATTGTGTTCTAAACAGTAATTATTTTCTTATATTACGTTAATATCACTCCAGAGCCAATAATTAAAAACAAATCCAAAATATAGTATTTTGTATAATTTTTCGATTGCTCATATAATATTAAATATGTATATAAAATTAAAGGGTATTACGTCACTACGGCGGGGAATTCTATATTACATAGTGAATATATATATATACAGTGTAAACTCTATATAACGACACTGAAGGGACCGTGCATTTTAGTGCGTTATAGAGAGTTGCCGTTAAATAGAGAGGAGAAAAATCAGAATTAGAAAAAGACAAAGTTTATTTCAGACTAGTGTTAGTACTTATGTACATAAAAAAGAATGTTATAGTTTGAGATTTTGTGAGCAACTTTTTATGTTAACGTATAGGTAATACAAGACTCCTACTTATGGTCAAAAACCGTCGACACGTGTAATCTTCTATCTTCTATATTTATAAAAATGGATTGCTGTTCCTTAGTCTCGCTAAAACTCGAGAACGGCTGAACGTATTTATCTTATCTTAGTCTTGAAATGTTCGTGGAGGTTCAGGGAAGGTATAAAAAAATTGATTCATTATTGGGAAAACCATGAAAACAGCCCTTTTCTATTTCCCATACAAACGTTTTTTTTGACATTAGATTTGACAACTAAATAATATGTCAATCATTCTGTCGCACTTCAAAACACGGAGATTTATTTACAGGTAAACTCCAAAAATATAAATAAAAAAACGTAATAGATATTTCTTGATTATAGGGCGATACGAAGTTCGCCAGGTCTTCTAGTCAATTTATAATTGTAAACAAAAGAACGAATTTCTTAGAAAGTTCGGTATGGATGATAGGGACAGTCGAATTTATTGCGGGCTAGGATAACAAAGCGACAAAGGAACGTACACAGCTGCACAGTTTTTACTAATTTTAGCTACTTAAAAGGTACTTATTACTTAATTGTTGTCGTTATTGAGAGTGGGTATGCCGCTATGTAGAGTGTATCATTGTATGGTAGACAAGCGAAACCAACCAAAGTCAAATGATTTCGACGCTTTAGAGAGTTTGTCGTTAAATCGAGTGTCGTTATATAGAGTTTACACTGTATATATAAACATATACACTTATACATAATAGTAGGATATAACTATTGGACTAACACTGAAACATAGAAAGATAGAGAAATCATCTATAAGACCACTTCAATATTAAAATTCAATATCTATTAAACAAAATGTCTTAAAATTTATATTTTAAGACATTTTGTTTAATAGATTCTTCTCAAAAATAAAATGTACATTATACATATAAATAAAATTTAGGTACACATTCATATTTGGAGGAACATTAATGGCATTGGCTATGGTATTTGAAAGTAAAGTAAATCTGTATACTTAAATCAATGAGAATTTATTCAATTCTTAATTAAGGTACATTTCCATAGAGACAATAAAAAAAAATCGTACTTATCACTTATACAATACTTCAATTAAAACATAATTAATAATTAAAAATTTTCATATCAAAAATTAAAAGTATTTTAAAAATGCTACCAATCAGTAGTATTAAAGGCACTTGGGTTATTGCAAATGTTCATATACATATATATGTTTAGACAAAGATGAAATATTTTAATTTAAAATATTACATACATACAGGGTTAGTAAAATATCACTTAAAATATCTTAATAAAAGTGGTGGGATATTTCTTAACATTTTTCATTGCTTTTGTTGCTATTTAATATCAGTATTAAGATTTATTTGCTTCAATCAACAGCTTAATTTTAATAAAATTTTCTTTAACAGTTTAAAATAATAAAGAAATAAAAATGGCACAGACAACACAAAAATTTCAGTGTTCCCAATCTTACTGACATAATTTTTTCATTTATTTTTAACTACCAATGGCTGAGTCTGGCCATAAGGTAAAAAAAAAAAACAATCAAAACTTCTGCCATATAAAAAAATAATTAAGCTTACCAAATAAGACATAATTAAAGTAACTTAAAATATAAAAAAATAAAGTAATGGACAAAAAATCACATTGATATCTGTATCCGACAAAAATCAGATAGTATCGCTAGCATACTGAAAGTGAAGTGAATCAACCGCTTCTATGGTTCACTGGGTAAGTATAATATAAAAGTACTTAGCCGTATACTATCAGTATGAATGGAATATTCTTTTGAGCTTAAGAGGGTTCGTCCTTGACATTATTTTCAAGGTCATCGATACATTTCTTCATATCCGTTATAGATTTGATGAGATCATCTACAGGTTGGTTGTTATCAGTCTTTATGGCCAGGGCCTGTTCCTGCATACCCAGCATTACACGGAGACCGGATACAACAGTTGGGATTCCGACCACGGATAACTGAAATTTAATATTTTTTTACCATTTCAGTACAAGGTTTACAATATTCAGTCATTCTAGATATGATATATATATATATTTTTTAAATCTTTATATATATAAAAATTTCGTGTCACGTGTTTGTCCGCTATGGACTCCGAAACTACTAAACCGATTTTAAATTTGATTTGCATTCCGTGTGCATTTTGATCCAACTTGAAAGATAGGATAGCTTACATCTCAATTTATAGTCACAATATTACTTTATTGAAAAAATTTGTCTATTAAAGAAAATTATTTGTCATTATTACAATTATCTGTTGACTGAGTTAAGTATTCGATAGATGGCGCTATGTTAAAAATACAAACGTCATATATGAGCGACTATATTTTAATACATAATAGCATAACCACTACATACGTGTTTTCGTGTGTGTGCTAAGGTATAACCTAACTTTATTTATTAAAAAACGTAACAGATATTTCTTGATTATAGGGCGATACGGAGTTCGGCGGGTCTTCTAGTTGTATATAAAGAAAAACGCTGATTACATAATTAATTGCATCAAGATTCTAAGATTAAATTTTTAATAAAGACATTGTAAACGTAATAAATGATTCTGTTATATTTAACTTTTTTTATATACAGATATTGCTCGACTATTATTCCACTTAATACTTATACATATATAAACTAATATTTATTTGTGTGTAAGTACAAATCTATAGTGAGTAAGTGTAGTACAGTAAAACCCCGCTTTACGCGAGGGATACGTTCCGAAGAAAATCGCGTTAACTGAAATTCGCGTATATCGAGGTTTATGATTAAACACAATCAAAATTTAATACACAAATATACAAATCATTTTAATCAATCACTTTAATTCTAAGAACACTATACAATACATAGGTACTCCTATTTTTTTTACGAAAAAATACATGTATTGTCTTTTGAGTAGCGTTTTGGTTACGTTCTTGTAAAATAACACCAAACACTGTTTTTAATCGTTTGACACACGTTCAAGACACGGTCATCATTATTATTATTATTATTATTTTTTGATTTATTGGAACCACAAACAAGTTTACAATTATAGTTTCTTATAGCTTAATTAGTAGGTACATATTAGTTATTGTAAACTCAACAACGATGGTCACATTAAACATAACAAAATAAAATAAAAATGAACCTGTTGAAAACTTAAATATGGACTAATTCAAACAATTAAGAATTTAATTATTATTAGTTATTATGGTGAAAAGATAAATATAAACATTTTGTTCAATGTAAATATATAATAAACAATATATGAGTATAAATAAACACATACATATAAAACTAGGAATTACTATTGGTGATTTAATATATGAATAACCTGTTTTTTATAAGCGCTGCTGCAGTTAGTAAAAATGTCTAGGTACATTGTAAAAATTCTTGTTATAAGCATTAATTATTCTATTTAACGGTGACGCATACCGGCATTATTGTCTATACTCTGCAATGTCCCAACCTGAATAAATTTTTGAAAATCGCGTTATAGTGAAAACGCGCAAAACGGGGTCGCGTTAAACGGGGTATTACTGTATATAATTGTATTACCGATGGCAGAGTCACAACGGTGTCATGTTGTTGTTGGGGTTGAACGTCTAACTTAATCCTCTTGCTGGGGTTGTGTTCGGAGGGAGCTGATCTCTTTGAGGCCTTCTCTGGGTCTTCCTCTTTATTCATATCCCGCCTGGGACACGAACAAACCCTTACACCAACACTCTGACGGCCAATCACCAATCCGCTGATGAATATAAACATAAAATCACATATAGAATCTTTTATTCTATGGGATACAATTTATTGGTCATGATTTTTCAGTTATCAGAACAATATCCATGGATATCAGATTTAAATTAATATATAAAGTATATGCACTATATTATGGGTGGATCATTCTAGTTAAATTCATAGAAAAATGCTGATATAGAATTTCAGATTAGATAGAAATGAAAAATTAATACAATTTAGATATTTTTTATTTTTCTCTAAATTGATTTATATTTGCAAAAATATGTTGGTACTAAATCAACTTAATTCAATCGAACCTTATAAATGTATTCATGGTGAGTTTATGTATTTTATATTTTTAAATGTTTAATAAGTAGGTATATTTATATATAGTATTATTGAAATAAAAAATGTCAAAGCAATGAGTTAAATCGAATTCAAATCCACAAGACAGGTAACTATTAAATATATGTGCTAATAGGAAAACAAAATTTAATGCAACATAATTAAATGATTATAGAATAAACGAAAAAAATCTGGACATTCATTATTTATAAGAAAAATAAAACAATGTTGCCATGAAAACCAAACCAAACCGAGACCTATAATATACTGTCATTAGTATGCAATACTTATTTCATGGTTTTTATTGGGATGCTGATGCTTCTTTCGAGCTACATATAACTCCTTACTAATCATTACCCAGTTCTGACTATACGAAAACCGATAAATATTTAATATAACAAAAAAAAAATTCTTCCTTAATAGTAATAACCAGTCAAATGATAGTATATAAATCAGTTTTCAACATTGCATTTCCACATTGAAAGGAATCGTAAAATAAAAACAAAATTATTTGAAACGAAATGAGTTTCAAGTTTCTTACTTGTGAAGAGATTATTGAGCATTTTGAGATATGATGCTTTGAAACTAAGTCTTTTGAGAGACACATACAAGTTATGGTACAGAAATATTATTTACAAAAAGTGAAGTGAAAATTATATGTGAGTATTAATTAATACGACAACTTCCTCATTTCAGGTAAACACAAAAGAGCAGGACCCTTCAAGATGAGAATAGTTTTTTTTAACAGTTTTGGGCTTGTAAAATATTTTAATAATTTTTTTTCTATATGACTATTATAGGGAGAACTTTTGTCTACCAGAAGGTTAACAACAATATGGAGTTTTTAAAAATTGTGTTAATTATATACAGAGCGAAAAAAAAATTAGGAAAATAGCTACTTTGGCAAAGATTATCACAATCATCGGATATCTACTATGGAATTTAAATGCTTTCAAAATTTCGAATAAGTTAAGAAACAATTACTATGACATGAATTTTCCAAAAAATTAAGATTCTAATGAAATCATTACAAATATTCCTTAACCTAAACCGAAAATACTATGATTATGAACCGTAACCTACTGATATATCAAATTAAATATCCACACATAAATGTATCTAATTATATTAATTTTATAATTTATAGCGTTGTTTCATAGTATGTGATATTTAATGGGTCTTTACATTTTAAAGACCCATTTTAAATTATAAAATTTAATATTGAATACATAATATATAACTTACCAAGAATCTTCTAGAGTGAATATTATTTCTATATTCCGTCGATTGATACCAGAAACACAGCTGTTCTTGCAGACAAACTGATATGGATGTTCTAGAGTCGGATTCCCAGATACAAGTACCGAGTACCAAGCATCGGGATTTTCTAGACTTCCGTAATATTCCACATTAGGTACACCATACTCGCGACCAGAACGTAGAACGTTGCGACCGATCGCAGTGTTGGCTGATGAGCAAAGTCGGGTGTGAACATTAGTTTGTAAATTGATAGTGTTGTATTGTATGTGGTGAAGGAACTGAGTATTAGGTATTAGTGGAGGTAATTGTGATATATGGAGTACAATATGACTATTTATCTTCTTCTACCTGGAAATTTCCCAGCTTCAGCCAGGGTTTGCCTTACATGTCGTGAATAGTTTTGGCTAACTGTTTTTACGATCGGCCGCCTGCCTGTCATCAACACTCTTTGGGAATGCATTAATCAGTAAGTATTGCAAGGGGTATATTAAACTATGTTGATTGATGCAAGTATTTCAGTATATTATTCATAATAATTATTCAGAATAAAAGGCCGTCAAGTATTAAGCAAGATTTCTTTTTATAATAAAAACTAATAGAACAAATTTCATTCAATTAATTCTCCAATTTTATGACATCCATAAGTTGTATATTCAAATTGGCATTACATTGTCAATTTTAGTTGTATATCTAATAAACAACATGTAACCTAATTAACGCACAACCTGAAAGTAATTTGTTCAGAATCGGAATCTGGATCGATTTTGATAATTTTTTATGTAGGTCATTTTTCTCCTTAAATTTAGATAGAACTAAGTAAATTACAGTCATCCTACACACAGTTATCTAAACACTTCATTGAAACGAAAATGGATCGTAAGTCAGGGTATTAAGATTTTTAAAATGAAATATTAAATTAGTAATCATCATTCAATTAAAGAAAACTGATACTTGTTTCAAGGCTAAAATAGTATTTTACAAATACCTACGCACGCAACACGAACAGCGACAGCCGGCACACAGCAAATACCTACGCACGTGTCCATTGACCTCCTAGATCAGCTGATTTGACGCCACTCGACTTTTTTTTGTAGGGGAGAATTAAATCGCTAGTTTATAACACAGAGACATCAAATGCCGAGGAACTATAAAATAAGAACTAACCGCCTTTGTAAAAGTGAAAAGTTAGAATGCAGTACATATTCTTCTTCTTCTTCTACCTGGCAATTTCCCAGCTATAGCCAGGGTCTGCCTTACATGTTGTGAATAGTTTTTGGCTATTTGTTTTTACGACCGGCCGCCTGCCTGACATCAACCCTCTTTTGGGAATCAACATTAATCAGTGATGTCTAAATACTCTTAGAAAGTACATATGATTCCGAAAAATCACATTGGTACTTGCCCGGGCCAGGATCGAACCCGCGCCCTCAGCGACGAGAGGCGGGCCCTTTAACCACTGACTTATATAGCAGTACATATTATCTAAACTAAAACCACAATTGCGAAAACGGTCATTAAAGTGCATTGAACAAGGCGGTGGACATTTTGAAAATGTTTTAAAACAACAACGCCGTGCGAGTGCAAATAAAACTGTAAGTTTGTTTATGATCTTTAAATTATTGTAAATTTTTTGATTCACACCATTTAAACACGCCGACTTTGTTTAACTTTGTCGTAAGTATTGTGGTGTCTGATCAAATCACGCGTTATCAGATGTTTAATAATTCTTATTTACAAATTTAATTGAACCAATCAGTAATTATATAATATTGGCTTCACATTAAAAAAAATTCAATGTCGACAATCTAAAGCCTGAAAAGTGTGATGGAAAGAAGAATCATAAATCATAATGTAGTTATTTCGTGTACCTATTATTACCAACTACTTATTATGATCGGACGGCACTCGGAGAGAGGGGCGCGGGCGCGGCGAGCACATTGTGTCTGTCTGTGTGTGCGTGTGCAGCGGAGTGTTGGTGAATAGCTGACCATATTATTTGCACGAAATTGCGATAACTAATTTCAAAAATAAACAATGCTAACGCACATATAAATAATATTTGGTGTATGCATTGCGTTTATATTATTATTTTCTAATTGGCGTGTTTGAAGGTGTGCATTAATTATGTTAAATGTTGTATATAATAAATGGACTTTAAAACCATTTTGAGATATACTTTTTTTGGTATTTGATGCCTAATTAATACCTGTTTTAGAGTAAAAGGAATGTTGATAGCAGGCCTCGACTTTCTTTTGAGCTTGATCAGCGTCTGAGAACATGACCGTTGCCCGGACAAACATATTTTGATACTTTGAATCCCAGTTAAACTTCAATGGAAAATCAACACCGATGTCCACAAATATCTTGTTCAGTTTCGCAGAGTACTGAAAAAAAATTAATAGGGATATAGTTTATAATACATTTTCTAAGTTAAAATCATTCTCTTGTGATTTCATTATGAATAAATTAAATTAAAAACAGCACCTTTTCATTTACTTTTCTTTAGTTTTGAATGATTTATTGCTATAGAATATAATAGTTTCTACAAATATCACTCACTAGGAACTTTTTTCTCCTTGTTTGTGAACCGTCGATGGTTATCTCAAAATTTGCTTCTCCTGCAAAATTTCCTCTCATCGGTGGACCAAGTGGTTGGAACTGCTGTAACTGATTAAGAGTTTTGAATAATCTCATGTTATTCATTGTGATATATTCATTATAATGTAATAAAATAAAACAACTCACATTTAATACTGAAGTCTCGAGCATCGCGTTATTTATCATTGATAATACTTGATCATCACTAGGCCTGAAATGGTATTTATAAGGTATTATATATACACAACAAAAAAACCATGAATTTGGTATTTATCACTATTTAGCTTACATAAACATGTATATTATATTCTAAAATTAATATGACATAAACAAAAATCATGACATCAAAAAAAAATCATGACATCAAAAAAAAATCGCCTCTGCCCTCGCATGACACTCATTGTCAATAAGTAATGTAATATGTAAATAAACAAAACGCGCAGTAGCTTTTAGATAAAGGTTTAGAACCTTATCAATTAAAATATTTCTCAGAATAAACTGTATATGATTTCCAAACATAACATAAGCTAAACAAAAGATCATATTACGTTTAGATTCTGCTATCCATATTGTGACAATATGACCCATGATTTTCATCCAGTGAATCAAAAAAAAATATCTTTTGTATGACAACATTTCATCCATTACATTATTTTTGCTTCAAATTCATACAAAAATTTAATATATATCAGTCGCCAGCAAATAAAACTTATTTAATATTTCTGCACAATCGTTACATCAAAATTCGCAAAGATTCTTTTATTTGAAATATACAGTGCAACCTTAATATAACTACTTAATTGACAAACTCTTTGTAATTCCCTCGAATTGTATATAATTCAATACAAAATAAGCCTTTACATTGCAAACAAACTCTTTATAACAAATTTTTGACTATCAAAAAGTATTCATAACTCTAATTAAAGAATTTACAACCCAAAACATTTACATAAATTTTCCATCAATATAACTCTTAATTTGATGTCTATAGGCAATGGTACTACCTCTACTGAGTAGGCCATCTGCTTGTTAAACCCCTTTTTCATAATAAAACCTGAGTTCAACTAATTACTTCATATAAGAATATTTTTTTTCCCTCCGGTTTGTTATATCAAGATTGCACTGTAATGTGTATTCTATTTTCTTTAAACAATAGAATTTTATTCATAATTTTTTTTTCTAATAAATTAAATAACCAATTAGTTACAGTTGATAACAGCCAGCAATTTAATACTTTTGTCTTTTCTTGTTAAATTCTACTCCCAGCAATACTCAATATATAAGTGAAATATTATAAAATCTTTAAATTAGATATTTATACATAAAATAGTGATGTGTGAATTGTTAGTTCCATTACTTATTTAATAGGAATCTATACAGAAGTTTTAGTATTATGCATAAACAAACATACATACATAATTACTAACAATTTTAACATCAATTGAGCATGATTTAATTAAATCTCAAAGGTTTAACACAGGCAGAATAGGCAAAGAAAATTATTTATTTGGGGTAATAGTTCTGTAATGAGTTGCAAATATGGAATAACTTTATATGTAGATGCATGAAAAATGAAATCGAACAGGAACAAGCCAAAGCAATATTATTAATATATTTAACATTCACAATATCAAGAAACAATCACTTTCGCAGTTATTTATTCTCCTAAGATATAGTCTTATGGTAATGATGAAATTTAGATCTATGCACAGCAAGATAATGTAATTTATTACTGAAAAAAAAACTTAAATTCTTTAATTTTAGATACCTATATTCATTGCAATAATATGTTTAATACAAAAAACTTAATAAAACATATTGTGTTATTTTTTATTATTACAAGCTAAAATTTATTTTTTATCACATTTCTTCATTTTTGATGTGAAAGATTCCTCAAACTTTTAAGTAATTTTGTAGCTACATCATAAAGCAAGATTTCCATTTAATGAGGATTTCTCATTATAAAATACATACAGGCGTCCTTATTTTTTAAATATTATGAAAATTTTTAGTTCATTCGCATAAAAAGCTGGTTGAGCCCGAAACTTAATCTAAGCATTGAAGCAAGTTTAAACAAGTCAAAACTTCATATTATTATTAAAGGGTACTCACAACTCATCTTTGTCCAAATATCCATCGATATTCTCAGATTTGTCTGAAATAAATTATTTAAACGTTTTTTTCATACAATTATATACTTTAGAGTGCACGTAAATATTACAACTAAACTTATATGAAATTTGTTTTAGATGTTTACATTTAATTTGTTTACACTAAATTAACTAAATTATTATAAAATATATTGTTGATTTTCTAATAATATTAACGTATTTGTTTCAGAAATTATAACTTAGTCAACGTAATATATGTTCCTCAAACTGTAGCAAAAAATAACTCACCCACGTACTCCATTGTGAGAAACAAATAAAGATATTAAAAAAAACACCAAAACGAAACTCAAATATTAACTTTCTGGGATTATATATTGAGCCATGGAATGCGGTAAACTGTAAACTGTAAAGTAGGAATGGTATGAGCTCAAAGGATGAGGATGTTAGCATGGATACAGAATATAAAATATTACAAGTCATAGATAAATTAAATATTTTCTTTAAAAAATATATTTAATATCTTCATTAAATTTAATATATAAGTATGATGAAATAATTATATGTATTATTTTACTTAATTAATAATTACAAATTAAGTCAATCTCTTAATTTCCTTAGTTTCAAAGAGATTGAAAATAGAAAATATTTATAACATTAATACAACATTAATATTTTCATGTTATCCAGTACTTATAGTTTTATTTAAATAAACTTTTCTCTTCATATTAACAGTATATATATAATTTTTAATTTGTTTGAGTCAATGACTTGTTTTAACCCTATTAAAAGTGATGCTGTAAAAAAAATCCTTTCCTTTAAAACATAAAAAGGAAAGCAATTAAATTAAAGCAAAATACTTTCATGTTTAATTGTAAAAACAAAGGGTTTTAAAAATGGTTTGTTCAATCTCTGGGTGTGTAATATAGTTGGTGTACATGTATTACCATATACAAAAAGTTAGTGAAAAAATATATGAACTCCGCTTCACTTGTGTTTTTTTCTAATTTTACTGTCATTATAGTGATAATTTAGTGCATATTTTGTATGCAACAGTTATTTTGACTCATTATTGTGTTTTATTATGAACCTATATATCTTAAAGAAGGACATAAGTGATTATATTAACTAAAATCAATAACAATCAGGGCTCAACAAAGGTACGCTTATGTTTGCTTTTGGTAAGCATATAACCTGTGTTTAGTGCTAGCGTCCGGTTGGCGTCTGTCATAGTTAACACGAAACAGTTTATTACATCTTATTTGGTTATTATGAAAATGGGATTGTGTATTTGTGAGTTAAGAATAGTGCATCTATAAAAGTGGTTTGATTTTAGTGACCAAGATGAATTATGACGCAGAAAGGGCTATGAACCAAAAGCGGCTACGGATGGAGGGTGAGCCTGGGCACGGCGTCGTTCAAGGGAACGGATTGCCGCTCAATTACATAGGTATGTATATTACGACTTTTCCGCGGGAAATCGCAACGCATCTATATAGTGTATGTTTTTCTAGATAATGGGCATCAGATTCCGTACCAGCCGTACGCCGGTGCCTACAACACGCACTATCCTCCCCCCGACGCGTTTGCCGCTTACGGGCCGCCGCCGCCGGGGGGCTACGCTCCACAAAACCTCTCGTACGCGCCGCCCGCCCACCAAAACTACGCCCATCATCAGACGTTCCCTCAACAACCTTCACAGGCGCAGCTTCACATGGCACAATCACATATGGGTAAGTAAAAGAAAAACACAAAAAAAAGTTCTTTGTTTCCTACTATATATCATACACTCTTATGTAAACAAACATTACAACAGATAAAAATTTCGACCTCATACTAATAGATAATTCCCGTTTGCTTCAGTTCAAGGGTATGGAGATGTTGTGCACAAGCCGGCATGGCCACCACAGCCCCACCTGCTGCCGTTGGACAAGCCCCTTGATATCAAGCAGCTCAAACCGGAGATCAAAGTTGAACCAACTGACCCACAGAAGAGACAGCATCCAGAAAACGAGATGATGGTAAGTATTTAATATATTTATTATACATATATACATAAAAAATATCTCATCAGCATTTTTAAAGATTTCTTTATATAGTTACTTCATTCTCATACATTTCTCTATGCTCGGCTTTTGTTTTGCTATGTTAATATTTTTGAACTTAATATTGACGGCAAAAAATTATACTTGCGATTGTATATACAAATTTATATAGTAATATAACAATTTTATATATGTGTTTTTTGTACCTACACTATATGTATATACATAGTTATATTTAGGAGTACGGCGATGTTTTGGGCAGGAATAATGTTGGTTGTGGCCTACTTGCAGGTGGGTGATTTAGATCAACCGAAAATCAAAATTAAAACGGACATTTTCAAACCTGATGACCTACATAGACCCGGTATGGAGAAACCACATGGTAAGTTTTCATTAAGTTTTCATTCAAAACATTCGATTTTTCTTGTAATATACAAATTTAGAAACATTTTTTAAAAATGTTTTTGTGAAATAATAAGTCAAAAATCAAGTGTAGATTTGAATGAAAGTAAAGCCTGAAATCTCTTAAACCTCTGACTACTTTTTAAATATAACTCAAACTTTAAAAAAAAGTTCATAACATTTATTATACTAAACAATTGAATACTTAATTTATTTTACACTTTTATATATCTATGAAAAAGCTCCACTCATTTACATTTAAGTGGAATACATAAAAATTATACAAAAATGTCTTTATTTACACAGTATACCTTTCAAATCAGTTGATTTTGTTAAATAAGAATTCATATTGATAAAACATAATTATTGTTAGATATTGTTTGAATCATAGTTTTGTTCTTAATTATCATTACATAAAACTAGTAATATGTATGGACTAAACAGTAAGTAGTGTTATTATTGTCAAAATAGCTTTTTATTTTTTCATATACCAATACAATTTTGGAGTATTTACATTCAATGCTGAATTTTCTTAATTATCTCATTGTCTTTTACTATATATAAGTATATTCACCGCTGGCCATTTATATTAAACCTGATTATTTGCGAATGACTAAATAATGTAATAACATTTATGTTGTTTTTACATCTATTTTACTAACTTTCATACAATACAATAAATATTATGTCTAATTAGTATTAAAAAATGAATAATTTGTATCTCATTCTAACTTAATACAAAGTTTTGTTTAGCAACTATGTACTTATATTGACAACAGATGTATAGGTTATATGTCAAAAATGTTTAATCAATAAGTACAGTCATGGAAATAATGTTAAAATATATTATTCTACTGGATTGTTTTTTTATAATCGAGATTAATTAATTAGATATGTATATTTATATATGTATTGTGTATAATAAAACTCCGTCCTTCAATGTATTCATTATAAGTTGTAACCAAACACCAATTCTAAGTAACATTAGTATATAGTCAGTGTATCACTTGTGTTGGTGACTGTACCTCCATCATTCTCACCTCATCTCACACTAATGTATTGTGTCGTGTGATGTTCTGATGTCAACGCAACACTCTATATTCAGTCAGTTAGTTTGTTGACTGTAAACTATCCTTCTAATGAATCTTCATACAATGTACCTATTTTCATTTTACATACACACATTTTTCTATTGTATTTTGTCTTTTAAAAGTGGTAATATGGTATATTCAAGGTGTTTATATTCTGCTAAATATTACACATAGTAATAATTTATTTAGGTTTTTCAGTGTTTTAAAAATTTTATGTAATACCAGTCATATATATGATACTTTGACTTTGGTATACTATGACTCGGTGAAAATAATTAAAAAATTTATTTCTCATTACTAGAACTTTAATAAGAATCCAATACAGACGTTTTATAATATATATTTTTTATTAAACAATAAGATGAGAAGATAAATCCTTCTATGCTATTGTTTTTTTTATTCGAATTAGACAAAAAAAAAAGTAATCAAATAAAAATTTGTTGAAACAAATTGTTTTTACTAATGAACAAATAATATTATTATATAAATCAATGTATGGTGATAATGAAAATTGTCTATAATAGAATCTAATACAAATTACACTTTTGATATACTATATAAAAATAAATATTCCACCTGCCATCAGAAATAGTTTTATAAGGATCCCATTGTAGCACATACTATATGTATACATAGGGTTAACATTGAACTCTTAGTTATTAAAAGCCAATACATTAAACTTTAATGACCCACCCATGACATATGCTCTGGAAAATTCATCACTGATCATTTGCATAAAAAAATATATTTTCTATTGAATATAACAGAATCAACTATGAAATAATGACAAAATTACTACCAAATATTGAAATTATTGTGTATATCAACACTTGCAAGTTACAGTTTAGATTGATTTATAATTTTTGAGAAAAAAAAAAATACAAATATGAATTATATAAGAAATTATAATATATTAGTACAATAATAATGTACTGTGTAGTTAGTGTGACTGTGACAAGAATATATGATACATATATGTTTTGTGTTATTTTGTCAAAAATCATTTATATTAATATACAATTGTTAACAATTTATTTTAAATAATAATTTCACAATTTGATAGAAATCTTAAGTTGTTTTAATCAGAAAACTTTTGGTTACATTAAATGTACATTCTGTTCCAATAATTTTAATTATTTAGTATTTGTAAGAAAAAAAATTAGCGCCAAAATCAAAATGGCTGTCACAGATTAAACACTAAACGTATTAATCACATGATATAGTCTTTTATATTTTATTTTTTAAAATCTAACGCGATACTTTACAATCAAAATATATTTTTAAATTAGGAAACAAATTATTTAAAAAAAATAGTTTTTCTTCTTCTCTTTAAATAAGTATAAAAAAAATAAAAATAAATACCGAATATTATATATGAATTACTTTTACTGTCTAAGTCATTCAAATACCCTTCTGTAAGTCTTAAATATTAATTTTTCTTTCAGATCTTTGTCAGCCAGTTAGAATCGAAGCCGATAAAGCGCACGGTGAGTTTTTGCAGGATAATAATGAAAAAAATAGTTTAAGTTTAAATTTAACTCAAACTAATGTTTTTTTTTAATAATAAATAAAAAAAATAGTTTTGTCGACATTTTGTTTGTAATATTTTTTTATTATAATAAGTACTAATCAATGTAAATACCCATTTTGATAATTCGACCCATGTACAGTATAGGAACATAGGTCAAATTATCGCAACTGGTATTTTCTTTGATTAAAAGTCTTATTATTAAAGACATTTTTATTCTCATACCTAACAGCTATTGTATATAAATATTAACTATGTGTTATATATAAAAAGTTAAAATAAGTTAATAACGAAAATATATGTATGTGAAATTTATTTATGTTATTTAGTATTTCCGGAGGCTGGTAAAGCGGAAGCAGTCCTAGAAGTGGGAAAGGAAATGGTACGACCTGTAGAACTACCCGGAGCTCCTTCTGAGAAAAGGTTAGTTACATAATAATTTTATATATATAGTAAATAGAAAAAAATCCTTAAGAATGTCTTGATTCATATGTCATAAAGAAATAGAAAATGTGCATGTTAATATTGTAGTGAGTAAAATATTATAATAACATATAATCTTCATATTTGGGTTAAAATAATATAATTCTTAAAAACAAAGACTACTAGAAATGTATATTTTTCAAAAATGTTTTTGTGTCTTTGCTAAACAGAGACATTAATAAAAAAAATAATAAGAATCCTTGATAATATTGAATATATAAAAAATTGTTTATAGTGAAGACGACAGGAAGCCTTTCAGTAGTCCGGAGGCGAAACCTGGACTCACTCCCGGGAAAATAACGACCCCTGGATTAGAGGTAGCTATTGTTACTTATGTACATAAATTATCAACCATTTGTATTGACATAATATATTAATATTATATAAAATTCATAGCCCAAAAAGCGCGGTCGTCCGAAAGGGTCAACAAACAAGCCGAAGCCCCCCGGCGCTAGGCCTCCGGGCCCGCGGGGCGCCGCCCCTGTTCCTCGAGCCCCCGCGCCTCGACCTCGCCTGCCCTCCTACCAGTACGCTGTCAGGCCGTTCAGAAAGGACTTCTCTGGGATACAGTTTAGGAGGTATGGTATATACATATGTATGTTTATAAACATACTGACTAATAACCTATTAATAGGATGAGTTTAAAATTTAATTTCTACCAAGTACTCGAATAATAACTAAAGACAATATTTTTAGCAAAAAAACTTTCCTCACAATTACTCTGTATCACATCTCTATGACCAAAAACAATTTTTAGCTCAAAACATTCTTCACAATCACTATATCTCATTCCTATCAAGAACTCGCATAACAACCCAAGACAATTATATTTTTTTTTTCCCAGGCGATGGAGCGATGACTGCCTGGATTCATCCCACATTCCCAACGAGGTTTACTTCGGCGACGTCCCAGTTCCTCTGTCAGTGTTGTACAACTATTACGACGCTAACGCTGAGAGGGAGAGGCTGGCCAGTCAGGCTGCTCACATTGCTGCACAGAAGGCAGCAGCAGCAAAACTGGCAGCGGCAAAGATGCAGGCTAGAGGTGTTGTTACTGGAGAGGTGAGATACTTGGTATATATACCGGATAATATGTAACTTGATATAGGGAAGGATATTTCAGAGTACATGCATATATAAGGGTGATATTGGTTGTCTAATTATCTAGAAGTTTTAATAGGTTATTAGATTTCTTTACAGAAAAATATATTCATACATATATTTTTAGCATCAGAGGTGAAGATTAAGAGATTTTGGTTGGTACATGTTATCTGTAACTTACTTTGATAAAAAAAAAAAGTTTAATCTTATATCTCCTTAGAATTTTTACTCCTTATTTCCTGATCAATTTAACCTTTTTAATATTAAATACATTCCTTAACCACCACCATGAGATATATTTTATCCCAAACTTCATTCATACAATAATATTTTTCCAACCTTATATATAATCATTACTATATGTGATATGGTTAAAAATATACATATATAGAAATCTCAGAACAATCAAAGTTCTTACATATAGTAATGTATTTATATATTTCAGTCATTACTGATATACAGTGTAAACTCTATATAACGACACTGAAGGGACCGTGCATTTTAGTGCGTTATAGAGAGTTGCCGTTAAATAGAAAGAAGAAAAATCAGAATTAGAAAAAGACAAAGTTTATTTCAGACTAGTGTTAGTACTTATGTACATAAAAAAGAATGTTATAGTTTGAGATTTAGTGAGCAACTTTTTATGTTAACGTATAGGTATTACAAGACTCCTACTTATGGTCAAAAACCGTCGACACGTGTAATCAATTTGTAATTGTAAACAAAAGAACGAATTTCTTAGAAAGTTCGGTATGGATGATAGGGACAGTCGAGTTTATTGCGGGCTAGGATAACAAAGCGACAAAGGAACGTACACAGCTGCACAGTTTTTACTAATTTTAGCAACTTAAAAGGTACTTTTTATTACTTAATTGTTGTCGTTATTGAGAGTGGGTGTGTCGGTATGTAGAGTGTATCATTGTATGGTAGACAAGCGAAACCAACCAAAGTCAAATGATTTCGACGCTTTAGAGAGTTTGTCGTTAAATCGAGAGTCGTTATATAGAGTTTACACTGTATTATATAATGCATAAATATATAAACATAATGTTAAATGCTACCAATATTATATGTTCTTGAACTATATTGTAATGCATTCAATTAATTTCAGGTTACAACGGTGGATTCTTCATCATCGGATGATGAGTCTGGTTCATCAGGTAGTGGCTCGGAGGACAGTGATGATGTAAGTATATAGATGTAACAACCAATTAATTGATCACATGATATTTCATATATATCTTTATATATACAGGGTGACTGGTGAATTACTATCGATACTTGAGGACGTGATATTTGACGATCATATATGACAAAATAAAAATTAATATAACATAAATATTAATAAACTTCTAAGTAAAGTTAACCAAAAGTTATGTAATTAATTACGCATCGTGTGAACACCCCACAGATTAGGTATACGCACACACACACACACATACGCGTTTGGCGGCGTGGTGTTGTATCAGCACGCCGCCGCACGCGTCCGCACTTGGAACACTTGGAACGTGTCCTCACTTTATTTATTTATACGGAAATTTGGTCAAAAATTAAGTACCTATTTTTTTACATTATTCGAATGAGAATCATGTACCCAGTATTCTCCTTAAATATTGATAGTAATTCACCAGTCACCCTGTATAATTCTTCTGTGAGTGTGTATGAACTTCTCTCAAACGACTGGACCGATTTTGATAAAAAAAATTGTGTGTGTTCAAGGGGATCTGGGAACGGTTTAGATTCACAATTTTGTCCGCTGGACAATGTTTTTATAATTAATTTTTAATTTATTAGTAGTTGTTGATACAAACTTTTTATTTTGACATTAAATTTGACAACTAACTAATATGTCAATCATTCTGTCGCACTTCAAAACACGGAGATTTATGGCTTTAATAGGTAAACTCCAAAAATATAAATAAAAAAACGTAACCGATATTTCTTGATTATAGGGCGATACGAAGTTCGCCGGTTTTTCTAGTATATACAGGGTGACTGGTGAATTACTATCGATACTTGAGGACGTGATTTTTGACGATCATATATGACAAAATAAAAATTAATTTAACATAAATATTAATAAACTTCTAAGTAAAGTTAACCAAAAGTTATGTAATTAATTACTCATCGTGTGAACACCCTACAGATTAGGTATACACACACGCGTTCGGCGGCGGGGTGTTGTATCAGCACGCCGCCGCACGCGTCCACACTTGGAACACTTGGAACGTGTCCACACTCTATTTATTTATACGGAAATTTGGTCAAAAATTAATTACCTATTTTTTTTACATAATTCGAATGAGAATCATGTACCGAGTATTCTCCTTAAATATTGATAGTAATTCACCAGTCACCCTGTATATATATACTACTACTACCCGGCGAACACCGTTTCGCCACCACAAGGCTTTGTTTTATGTAACATTTCGTTTGGTGATCAAAAGATGAAGATTTTTTTTTGTTTTATATTTGAAAAGGAAATTTTTTATTTCATTTCACAACCGTCATGAATTCATTTCGATTACAAAAATGAAGTGTTATTTAGTTGAACCTCTCTAAGTAAATGAAAGTGAATCCAAAGTAGATACCGAATTGAAGCGTGATACGTGTCCGCAAATTATCCGTTTCATTGAAGTTCTCCTTTGTAAACCACATTTTTTGTTTTTTGGTCTAACGTTAACACAAATAAAGCGGATGGTTTTCCAACTCGTGAACACGTAAAGTATAACTGCCCATTTGAAAAACAATGATTTTCTAAATTTATCCCGCAAATACTAGATGGTTTTAAGAGTTTATACTACAAACACAATACCGGTTTGTCACATAAAATTAACTGAGCAGAGAACAATGAGTAGCTGTCAAACAATGTATCATACACCGGCTCCATCTACTTAAAATATTGATTTGTAGTACATGTTATGTATGTGTTTATGTGAAAAAAGATTTTCCCGCTTTTCTATTGAAATTTTCCTGAATTTTTTTGTTATAAACCTCACGGAGCCCTAGACCTTTCCAACGAATGCAAAACTGCGGAAATCGGTTCGTTCGTTCCGTAGTTATAGCGTCAGGAAGGAAAACCGGACTTATTTTTATATAGTAGAAGATTTCTTACAAATATCAAATTGTCATCCACACGTCATTACATATCTGTCATTATACGTCAATTACATAGCTGTCAATTGCGTTTTGTTATTCCAAGTTTGATTCTTTTTTGTTATACCACGTTTTATAGTGACTGACGTTTCATGTCAAGTCACACGAGAATGCTGTCGAACGGGATAAAAAGTATCCTATGTCCTTCTCTTGGCTCTAAACTACCTCCCTGCCAATTTTCAGTTAAATCGGTTCAGCCGTTCTTGAGTTATAAGTGGAGTAACTAACACGACTTTCTTTTATATATATTACGAGGGGAGGTCAATAAGTTCGCGGAACGAGCGGGAAGAGGGTTGAAATTTAACACGAAACTATTTTTCCTTTTCAATTATTCTCCCTTAACCTTAATACATTTTTCAGATCTCTCAAATAATTTGTTTATACCAACGAAAAAACAATGATTTGTCTTGGCTATCAAAATAGGCCGAAATTGCGGACTTGACTTCTTCATCGTCGCAATTTTTTTTTCCACGCAGCTCTTTTTATATTTTTGGAAACAAATAATAGTCGCTGGGGGCTAAGTCTGGACTGTAAGGTGGGTGGTTTAATTTTCCGAATCCACATCGGTGAATGGCAGCCGTCGCAACATGGCACGTGTGGACTGGTGCGTTGTCGTGCGAAAGGAGCACACCTTTTGACAGCTTTCCTCTTCTTTTTTCCTTGATAGCTTCTTTCAATCTATCTAATAAAGAAGCGTTAGTACTGTCTCGTTATAGTCACACCACGATCTTTATAATCGATCAGCAAAATACCTTCTGTATCCCAACAGACATTCGCCATGATCTTTCCGGCCGATTGTGACACTTTAAACTTCTTTGGAGGAGCTGTGCCTTTTTTTATGCCACTGCATCGATTCGTCATCTTCAATGGACTCTCTTCCTTGTATAAAAAGTCAATACCACTTGTAAACCATGGTTTTACATGGGGCAGAGTTCGCGTAAACTGATAACAGCTCTTCAAAAATCGTCTGAGCGGATTTTCCTTGCTTGGTGAGGAACTTAATAACGGCGCGGTGTTCAATTTTCTCCATACTCACTGACTTCTTCCCGATTCACTTGTTTGCAGGTCAACAACTCAAAAGTTAATGACCCGATTTGGTTCAAATTTGGTATATATACTATTAATAAGGTGTTGAACAAGTTACTACCTGGACGAGTAAATCAACCCCCTCCATCCCCTCCATTCCGCGAACTTATTGACCTCCCCTGGTATATTCAATGAGAGTTATTGCGCTAGTTGAGGGTAGTTGTGATTTTTTCGCAGATCTCTAGTTAATGTCTAGATAGTTCATGAATAGTGTTTTTTCCCAGGATATGCCATTAAAGCGAGGTCCAGGTCGGCCGAAAGGCTCCAAGAACGCATCACCCCGCACTCTCGGGAGCGGGAGTGGTCGTCGGGGCAGGCCGCCGGTCCCGCCGGAACTACGCCAGCCTGGCATAACTGATATGAAAAAGTTCTGCAAAGCGGCTGGCATTAGATTTGATTATAAGAAACTTGTTGAAGGTACGTATATATACAAGATTAATATGATAATGAGGTATAATGGCTAAAAGACTTGGACCTGTCCAGAACTAATTAATGAGTTAGATAGAGGCCCTTTAAACCTACACCTGGATCGCAAGTCCCAAGCACTGTTGAAGCTCCTCTCCATACAACATTGAATGTTAATTAAACTCTTATTAATTAATTTTATGTTAATATCACAGGATGCACAAAGAACAAGGAGCGTGTGGCTAAGATGTTGGATCTGCTGACAGCTGCGGGTCTTGAGGGGAAGCCGACGTTGGAGAAATGTAAAGCGTTAAAACAAGCTAAGCTAGACAAGAGAGAACAAGAGAAACTGGCAAGGAAAGAGGCACGCGCCAAACATAAAGATGAAGACGGTAATAATATATATATTTATATAATATGTAATTTGACAAGGCGATTTTAATTAATAGTTACAAAATAATGATCTAAAAACATCAGTACAATGAAATTAACTACTCACAGAGTCATATACGTAAAATAGACTCAATAATAATTAGTAAGACAATATGTATAGTTAAAATACTAGAGTAATGTCACCTCGACGACCGACCAGCGAAAAGTGAGCGGTCGGACGTTGGTGTTCTTTCCATTTCCCCGGACTGGGACAATGGAGTGTCCGTCGGAGCTATGCTCCTTTTGGAGGTTGTCCCCGCGACCCATTACTATGGCTGGTGACCGCCCTCGAGACTGCCCGCGGGGTAGGACCCCTCCAAGCGTCTGCGAGAGGGCGGTGGTTGGTCCTGGTCTGCTGCCATCGGGGCTGGCGATTCTGTGGCCCCACTCAAGGGAGCTGGAATCAACTCCCGAGTCTGGGTGGGGAAGGGGGGCAGTGTTGGCTAGGTGCTTCAGATGTGAGCAGTCAGCTCGCTCGAACATCTTCCTAGCCAGCCTGCCCATGAATACCCCAATCGGCTCCCACTTGAGATCCCGGTGGACCGTAGCGTTCTTTAAGTAGCGAGGTGCGTCGACAGCGAGACGAAGGCAGGAATTTTTACCATTACCAGGATTGTACCAGGCCGGCCCAGTGTACGTGAGGCGTGACCTGATATATGATTTATATATGGCGAGTTTCGCTCGCAAGGCCAATCTTGACAGCAGAGGACGTAATTTGGTCCTCGCTACTTGGGCCTTCGCTACGGCCATTCTCACATGGTGTACCATCGTAAGGGACCTGTCGATGGTGACACCCAGATACTTGACCGTCGTCGACCATGGGATTTCCTTACCCAATAGTTGCAGGCTCGGCGGTGGGTGGACTTGTCCAGTGATGAGTGCCTGGGTCTTTGACACGTTACACTTAAGTCGCCCTCTCATAAGCCAGCTAGGAAGCGCTTCGAGGTTCCGGCTCATCTTAAGTGCAGCGTGTCTGGCGCTGCTAGAACTGGACAGGTATGCAGCATCGTCTGCAAATAGGGCCAGTTGGGTGCCGTTGTGACGGGGATGTCATCGGTGTAATGGGCGTAGAGGGCCGGTGAGAGACAGCTCCCTTGTGGGACTCCACCCTGGATTTGCTTCTGCGTCGACGTGGCGCTTCCAGTTGTCACGTGGATGGAGCGTTGACGCAGGAATGATGCGATGACCGTGATGATAGGCTTAGGTAGAGCGGACCATCGTGCCACATGTAAATGAGACCATCGTGCCACACCCTATCAAATGCCTTCTCAAAGTCTAGTATCACGGTCACTGTGCTGCCGCATTTATTATCCACGTGGCCATCTCGTTCAGTACTCTGGTCAGCTGCAGCGCGGTGGAATGGTCCTGGAGGAAGCCAAATTGTTCCGGCCTCGACTTCAGGTGAGGATTGATTCTCACCAGCAGCAGCCGTTCGAACACCTTGGATAGCGTTGGAAGGAGTGTGGTCGGCCGATAACTCTCAGGATTCCTGAGGTCCTTGCCGGGTTTGGGTATTACTATAACCCGGCCTCGCTTCCAGATGGTAGGGAAGTGGCCGGTCCTCAGGATGCCGTTAAAGAGTTGCGTTGCGTAATTAGCGCCTCCCGGGGGAGCATTTGTAGAGCTGCGTTGGGGATCCCGTCTTCACGGGGGGCCTTTTTAGCTTTGGTGCTCCTGATTACCGCTGCAACCTCGCTTGGTGTCACTAGCAATCCATCATCAATTTGGGAGAGGGATGTGGCGAGGTAGTTTCGGACTGAGTCCTCTACCTCGCGGATAAACTCCTCATCTCCGTCTTCATGTGGAGTGGACTGCTGTTCGAGGCCGCACGCGATAATTTCGGCTCTATCCTCGGCCTTGTAACGGAGCAGGCCATCCCGATCAAAGAGGGGACGCGTGGGAGTGGCTTCTGATAGTGATCGGTCTCTATCGTTAACTGCTTTTATATATTTTTTTTTTTGAAGTTCCTTATTATATATAATAATAATATTGACTTTATATATTATAATTGTATGTTATCTTTCCAGAGGTGGAGAGTGAGTCTTCAGCTCGCCGCATGACGCGAGGCGCGACGGGCGTCAAGCCTAGGCAGCGTATCGTGATATCTTCAGACGAGGAGGACGGAACCCCGGCCGCGAGGCGCACACTGTCCAAGCTTAGAGAGAGAGTCGACGACGACTCGGACTCTGACTAGGTGAGGCCCGACAGACATAGAGACATATATACATTATACTACTAGTGGACAGTAGCTCCCGAACTTATAGTGTCCATCAAGTATTACCAGGTTTACTTTGAGCTACTGAAACATCAATATGACTTATACTGGATATATGTTATTACAAATCATCACCGGTTTTTAAAAGGTGCCGCATTTTTTTTGAGTCTATTACTGCGTATTTAAGTCTGCAGTCCCCACAAGAGGGCGTTATTGTTCACTTTGAGAAACGTAGATATATAATATCTATTTAAAAACTATGAAGTCAGTTTCAATATTAGGATGTAGCACAGACCACGGAACCACTGAAGAAATCACAATACATATAATTTGTGTATTTTTACGATAACGCTAATTTAAGATAAGATTGATATAGATTTTAGTAGAAAATAATTTTTAAAATAAAATCAGAACAAAAGAAACCACGTTTATTACGTGATTAGATTTGCAATGAATTTTTTAATATAAAAATTAATGTACAAAATCTTTTTATGTATATTATTTGTGGTATTATACTAATATTCTATATCATTTCAGGTGTCTTGATAATAAGCCTGGTAATGTCGAAAGGACAATAATTCAGCCAGTAAAAGTTCACAGCTACGAATGGACATGAAACCTCTAGAAAGTGCTTCGACGGAGGTAACACTAGCGTTAGCAGGCGTGCTCGCTTGATTTCCTACTAATTTTAGGTCGGTGCGTCGAAATTTTTTTTTATAATCATACATAGATGTAGTCGAAGGCCAGATTAGATTCCCCTACATAGGTTCCGTATCAGAAAATGCACATATTTATTGCGTCATACATTTTTTTATATACATAGTCACGGTAAGATATATGTATGTAGTTATAAATAAATATTAAAAATATCAATATGCTATGAAAGTTTATTAATTGACCGTCTCGGAGATATAGAGATGATTTTTTTGAGTATATATATGTATGTATAGTAATCACGTCGTACGAGAAGTATGCATTTATTGAATTGCTTTTCTAAATCCGGCAGCTTTTTTTTTCATTTGGTTCGTAAATTTATATATATTTTATTTAAAGTATTGGAATTAATGGTCGCTGTATCGACGATATTGAAAAATATTGAAATCGATTGTCGAGTTTAAATTAAGCATTATTATAAAAAATATGAATAAATTATGAGCTGAATTTTTTATATTATATAATGTGTCCCTTAAGTGATAAATATATATATATACATATATATGTTATATGTAACCGCGTCGAATGATAATTGAATTGTAGGACTAAACCCCTCGCTCGTTTTATATATAGTTGTAGTAAATGAAGCTTCTAACAACGGCATAACGTTCATTTGTGCCTATAATACAATAATTATGGAAATAAATGTAATGCTAAGTGTGTGTATTTCATTTAATAGCAGAATATATGTTGTAATACATTTTTTTTATTATTTAAGAATCGATGAAAAAAAAATCTAATAATAATAATTATACAGTATGTAGTTTTTACGGATTATTCTTAGTGTAACAATAAAACGGTGACACCAAGATGTTTTGATAGTGATTTAATTAGCTATTGTACATATATAATACGATATAATTATAGGTAAACAATGTGTGTCCCTTTATTTTTGTACAGGCTCGTGAGATTGGTACAGCTTTGTATATAAACAGCACTTGGTGATTGATGGCAAACTAAAACATATGTTATACAAGTGTCGAGCGTATACAACATTATTTTGAATTCTCTGATTGAATGTAACCGTTTAAGTTACATTTAAAATACGAATGTAATGTAATGGAAAATTATAATATTGTTTTTCATGTAATTTGATTTCTATTCTTGCTTTGATTTAATGCAATAGAAATGTTATTTTATTATATTATGAAGGGGAATGTAATTATTCCGTTTTTAATGATTGATTTTTTTTTTTGGGATATACATATGTATATCGGTATATATCGTCAGTAAATGAAATAATTTTCTATGTTGATATGTAATTTTTTAATATGTATTTTCTAAATCGTAAAATGAAATTCATACATAAATATATATATTCTATTTAAGTTACGGCAACAAATTATTATGCAATAAATTAGCATACATTGTATGGTTTTAGTAACGGACAATCACAATATCATAAGATATATGAGAAAATTAAAAAATTTGTACATAATAGATAAAAATAGCGTAAGTTACATGTATTTGTATGATATTTAGATGTGTTTGTTTTACCATACGCCGACCACTTTAACTCGGACCCATTTTTTTCGGAGTTTATGTATAACAATCCGGTGCCTTTTTATAGTGGTCGCACTTTTTATATTAGTCATCAACATATTTCAAAATATGATATTAGTTTTTAAGAAAAGATGCTATTCAATGATTGTGTTTTCATTTTTTATTTAATCGCTTGTAATATATTTTTGTACCCGGGCGGAATGTGCGAGTGATTTTATTGATGGGATATAAGAAAATATATAAAAATCACTAGGACTTAGAATGTTGCCGACATTAAGCTATATAAGGGTAGAATTACGTGTAGTTTATTAGTAGAAATACAACATGCTTTTTCAAACAGAAGACATTTCGGGGCATTTTTTTTATATATATACATATATAAATAATAGTTTTTTTATTTATTTTGATTTCAGAGACTCATAGGGAGTTTTTATTTTCAATGCAAATGGTATATATTATCTGTGGTCAGACTCCTTAATACAGTCTATTGTATTTACTTTCTTTTTTTATAATCTTTCATATATTTATCCGATCCATATATTATTCACTATAACTCCATTATATTCATATTGTTCTGTTTACTAACAACTTCTTTTTTTACATATTTTTTTTATTAAGTTTGTAATCAAAAGTGATGTGTGTGAATGGAAACTTCTGGAAGTAGTGTCGCAATTTGATTAGTTAATCAAAAGTATTTTTAAAATAAAAATGATTATTATACAACTGTGTTGTTTTATTTGTGTTCTATCTACATATACGTCTTTTCAAACATTTTTATTATTATTTTCTATGATAAAACCAGTCGTAAGTGACCTTCAGTTGACACTGAGGGGATTTCACGGTGAGTGTCGTAATATCGACACGTTTTGTTGGATATGTGCTCATGGTCTTTCTAAAATATTTTTTTTGTCAAATTCTTGATTTTTTTTAAATTCCGTCTTTTTTCAATGTCAAGTCCTTGTAATGTCATTTTTAGTACAATAATAATTAATTTGTCGAAATCGATATAACAGTCAAATTCCGAAAATAGCTGAAAGCAAATATCTTAAACAATACGAACAAATAAATATTATATAATACATATGTACAAATAACAATTAGATTTCATTTATAGTAGAAACAATAAAGCCATAAACTGGCAAGAAGCATTTTTGAATGCTTAGTATTTGCTGAAGGGAGCGCGGGATATCTTCAGCAGTTTTAAAAATACTTAAAATTTGGTCTACAAGGACCATCCTTTGAATACTAAACTGTGGACAATCAAAAAATATATGTTCGAGTGTTTCATCAGCACTATTGCAATATGTACAAGTTGAAGAGTCAAAAACACCAATCCTAAAAAGGCGAGCACCAAAAAGACAATGTCCCAGACGCAAACGACAGATTGTGTTATAATACTTTCTATGGGTATAGTCACTACCCCGGGTAAACCAGGGGGAAGAGACCTTTTTCTTTATTGTAGCTAACCATTTTCCTTTTACCTTTACCACCTGATGCCATAAGTTGTAAAATTCTTTCTGTAACGTGAGTTTGAAAAGAGATAGAGCGTCTGAATAAGGAATTGGGAAATTTAAAAAGCTATGACTTAATTGATTGTGGGCCAGATTTGTAATAAATTTAGCTAAATAGTCTGCTTGCTCATTGCCATGCACACCAATGTGGGCTGGTGTCCAGAATAGGACTATTTGCTTGTTTTAAGACAGTAGGTTATACAACTCTCTTATTTTATATATAATATAGTTAGTTTTTGAATTTAATTGTGTTTTTTGTAATGCTGTTAATAAACTTAAACTATCCGTTATTATAATCCACTTTTGATGAGTCTGTGTTTGAATGTGCTACACAGCTATGGATTCAGTGGAGTATATACTCTATAATAGTCAGGTCAAAAGTGGATTCGGTCACAGGCTGAATCCACTCACAAGCATATTGCTATAGAGACTGCTTCATTGTTCCTAGACCCATCTGTATATATCTGATGATATCCCTGCCACCTATCAAGTTCCCTATAAATGTCTTCCTTATACTTTATAAGACTTTTGACTACAATTTTAATCTGAATAAATTTTGATTCATATAACCCAGAGTAAGAAGGCCATACCATGCTAGAAAATATATGATGTTTGTTAAAAATTTGTTCTGTTTCAGAAAAACTTAAGTGCTTATGGAGGTATATTACATTCCACCTGCATTGACACCATGGGAGTAGTTCGCATGGCACCCATTATAATACGCAAACATTTGTTTTGTATCTTTTCTAATTTATCCACTATAGTTCTTAACCCTGCAAAACAAAAAAAAAGCATATTCAAAATGACTCCTTACTAATGATTTATACAATGTTAATAGAATCCTTGGATCAACACCCCAATATGTGCCTGTTAAAGATTTTAAAACATTACAAGCATTTAAAGCTCGAGATTCTAGAGTTTCAGCATACTTATTCCATTTAAAATTGTTTGTAAAAATAACACCTAAAAACTTTACAGAGCTCTCTACAGACATTACATTATTATTGAACAAAATATTTACATTCCCATTTCTAATTCCATTTTTGGAAAAGACAACTACTTTACTTTTTTCATGCTGACCTCCAGCCCAAAGCTATCAAAATAGTTCTTTAGTCTTTGGAGAGCAACATTAAGGACTGATTGTACACGTAAAAAATTAGTATCAGAGCAATAAACAACTAAATTCTCTGCAAACTGCAGGATAGAAACTTCACACCCCAGAGTTAAATTTAGCTGATGTATGAATAGGATAAAAAGCAATGGGCTCAATACACCACCCTGTGATACACCCCTACAAGAATATCTTGGACCAAATAACTGATTGTTAACCTTAACAAACACCTTTCTGTAGTTCAAAAAATTAAAAATCCAATTTACAACTTTTCCAGGTACCTGTAGTAATAATAATATTGAGGATAATTTGTTCATATCTACATTATTGAAAACCCCTACAATGTCAAGAAAAACACCAACTAGCACTTTATTATCGGAACGAGCATCGTGGATATCCAGACAGAAATGACGTTGACTCTCACAAGCAGAACGGCCACAACGAAAGCCAAACTGATTGTTAGGTAAAAGATTATTAATTTCTAAGTGAAAAATTAATTTCTGTTTTATTAATTGTTCGAAAATTTTTCCAACACATGAACTCAGTGTAATAGGACGATAACTATCAGCCAAATTAAAGTCTTTGCCAGGTTTTAATATTGGACATTGGTACCAAACAGTCAGTTTTCCAATTCTCTGGGATAATAGAAGACGACCATAAACTATTTAATAGACTTAAAACAATAGATAGTGTTTGAACATTTAAAAGTTTAAACATTTTGTAGAACAGCCAATCCAGGCCACATGAAGCATATTTTCTTAACGCTAAAGCAGATTTTAACTCTTGCATAGTAAAACAACCAGTCATATATGAATTATCACTATTTACTCCAAGAACATTACTTATACTTATCTGTTGTGAAACAGTATCCGGTGTGTATTTATATAAAAATGTTTGAACCCAATTGAGGTCAGAAAATAAGTTAGAACTCGGAAAGCTTTTTTTGAATTTTCTTAATTTACTCCAAATACAATTTATAGATGTCAAACGATTTATTGATGAGCAGAATTCACACCAACTTTTACAACGTTCTTCTTTTAAAGTGCGTTTTTTAAAGGCTTGTGCGCGTTTGAAATTAATGTAATTTTTACTATTAAGACTAGTTTTGAAGTTAATGTAGGCGTTCTTGCAGTCTTCTACTACTTTTGAACATTTATCATTCCACCAAGGCACTTGACACCTTTTTCTAGGACGGTTATTATTACTATCAGTTGTGTTATGGTTTAAGCTGGGCCCGGAGAATTTGATTGCCAATAGCATAATTGCACAAAACTTTCTGTATGAGTTAAGGAGATCACTATTGTCAACTTTCAAGTTCATTAACATTTTATTAAGAATTTGTTCATACCTATCCCAATTTACTAATTTCAGATTGCTGTGAAAAAGAATGTTGTTCAAGGAAATAGAGGGCTCATGTGGATCTCTTACGAGAGTAAATTTTGTGATAGTTGGCAGATGATAACTGCCTAAAGGGTCCTGATGAACTTGCCAGTCACAAGAAAGAAATAAAGAAGAAGACACCATAGTTAAATCTACACTGTTTGGTTTCCAAATATGAGAGCCTATAGTTGTTGGTTGACCATTATTTAAAAGTATTAAGTCATGGTCATCCATGGAATCCATAATAGCTGTGCCCCGAGAATCTATGCGACTACAACCCCAAAAAGTATGATGGGCGTTAAAATCGCCTGCAATAATCAACGGTTTTGGAATACTGTACAATAAACGATTGATCTTCGTCTTTTCAAAAGCAGGAAAACTATTACCAGGACTGTAAAAACTAACCAAAGAAAGGAGATTGTCCACTTGGTATGGGGACTTTGGCCTTACGTGAACAGACATTTTATCATATTTTTTGTAATTAGTTTAAAAGCACTAACTAGAAATAATGAGAATATGAACTTAATTTTGTATCAAAATGTTTAAAAAGAGATTTTTGTCATGTGAGGAAATACAGGTTAAAGCGAAATAAAACAAAATTTTTTTATGATTTATTTTTATTCTGAGACATCATATGTTATTAATGTGTTCAAGAAATTGGACAGGTGGTGAAATGTGTTCCAGATACCTTGCCCAACTTAAAAACCATAAAATAGTCATTATATGAGTTCCTCAACCCGCTGTCCTTCGGCCAACCATGCAATTACAATAATATTCTTTTATAGCTTCCTTACTATTGTGATTATTTTCATATAATATATACATAAAATATATTTTTCGACTTACTTGCCTGCTTTGTATTTTTCCATGCAATTATAATAATCTGCAGTTGGCCAAAGGAATCGGGTAGTCCACCAATAGGTTGCTGGCTATATTTCTACATAATTCTATAGTATAGGGACCATCGCCTCTTATGTGCTGCCCATAATACGAACAAGCTTGTTTTAGTTGGTATGTTCCACATGCAATTAATATAAGATCATTATATTCTATTCTTGGAAATATGAAACTGTCCATGTTTACATTTATAGGTTGAAAATCTGCCCGCCTTCTATTTAAATTATTTTCGACAACAAAGTCGGCTAATGTGTTAGGAGTAAACATCTTTTCATTTATTATAATACAACAGTATATAAGGATTATAATTATATAAAACAATAAAACCTCATTTTGCATTATAGGAATAGCATGTACAATACATATCTATTGAAAAACGAGTAATTTAAATAATTAATTGAATTGACACTTAATCGTCGAGGAGCTATCCACTGTCTTATAATAGACTGAACCTGATTAAGATCTAGACTATGTCGCCTTCGCTCTATCAAATCAGTTCCACAGTTTATGCATCTCAGAGATACGGATTGGTAAGAAGTCACTTCTTCTGTGTGCAGACTATCATGAGACACGCTTTGGTTTTGTTCAATGTCCATATTAAAGCCGTGGTTAGCGATGGAGCTAGTTTCGGGGTCCATATTACGTGAGTGTTGGTCATCGTTTATGCCTTGATCGGAGTCCATAATACAAAAGCCAGGGTCATTGGAAAAAGATAGGTCGGAGTCCATAATGAATAAACAATCGTTGAAAGAAAATCCATAATAAATCACCACTCTCAATGTAGGTAAACAAACCGAATGTAAGCAATCAGTTGAATCAGTCTGTGACATATCAAAGTCAATTTGTATTTTTTGTTTTATTATTGTTGCAATAGCAAAAAATCATTAAAAAATCGATCGAAAACAGATATGATTAAGTTAAACATTCTTCATATTACTGAAATTCAAGGACTCACCCGAATCCTTCTTTTTACGTTTTTTCACCAT